CATATTTGCTCAGGTAATATACTATGAATTGATGTGTTGAAAATAGCTTGTGGAAACCACCTCTGTCTGTAACTGGGCTTTTACTCCGGTTATCATAGTTGTACCTGAAACAGCATTTTCTGTAGCTTAGCATTCTTTAATTTTACTTCCTAGATGTGAGAAAAGTTGTTGTGTTGCTTCTGACTCTGCAACATCATCATACCTCGCTCTGTTTGAGCTCCAGCATATGGAAAACAGGTTTAATAATAAGGCTTAGTTGAACTGTGGGAGTATGGGAAGTACTTTGAGACATCTGTGTTCTGCATGATACTCATTAACAAGTGATGGTGCAAGCAGGCACTGTTCTGATTAGAGAGCTGTGAAGTGCCTGCAGTGCATGTGTGTGTGTATTTGTACGGGTAAAGATGGAAGTAGAAACCCAGAGGAATGGACTATGGTATGATTCTCTATGAATATAACTTCTGTTCTTGGTGCTTCACTGCATACTGAAGCCACTGCTATAGCCAGTGCTATATTTAGCTATGTTGGATAGATTAAAGCTAGCAATACTTAACTGTGTGCACATCTACTCGCATACATGTAAGTAAAGCTGTTCTTCTGTTAATAACTGATTTTCAGTAGTAACAAAGGTGGTTTTTTTTTCTGATGACATGATGTCATAGGTTGTGGTTGTACAAAACTAAGTTTTTGCACAGCCTTATTCACACATTACCATGCAGAAGAATGGGAATTAGAGGAGCATTACTTCTCTAATGTTACTTTCAGTACTTCTACTTTCAGTATACAATTGAGAAAAATTTCAGGAGGTAGCTTTATACCATCTCTGTTGTTGCTAGTTTATTCTGCGTCCAACCTCCTTTACCAGTGACATACAGTCCCTTAATTTTTTTTCCCAGTTAACAGTAACAGTCTTTTGTGAGTTAGAAAGACATAGGTTTCTTCTAGCTGAAATGATGTCTCTTCTTAATAGGATTATTTGGGCACGGAGTTCTTTGGGTAGGTGCTGTAAATAAAGTCAAGTAGAATACCTTTGCACCAGGTACTCTGCAGTACTGTGTAATTCCTTTCCAGGAGCCTCATGTGCCAGGCAAGCTTAGCTGTTCCTTGGTCTCTATGACACTATGCAGTGGGAGTGCCTGCTCTGCTTGTGTGTTTTGCCTGGGTCTCGTGGCTGTAAAAACCTGGAAGGTCAGTGAGCTTGCTGAGAGTCAAGGATTGCCTGGGCTGCTTCTCAAGTGAAGAGGATGGAGGAATGGCAGGAAAAACTGTGGCTTCAACAATAGCATAAACATGTTGAAAGAACTGTGCTGTTCAAGGCCAGATGCTACCCATCCTTATTAAACCATTGAATACCAGAATGAAGTAATTAAATGTGCTGCTCACAAGCACCACTAGCAGGATGTGAGTCACTTGATTTAACCCAAGTTATAATTTGAATAGGTGGTACATGCTGAATGGGAGTTTTCCTTCAGCACACTGACAGCAGCAGGGACATACTGCTTTCTATCCATCTAGTCTGCCTTCTACTTACCGCTGTCAAAGGAAAAAATTGTTTTAAATCAATGTTTACTGGAGTTCAGATGTCAAATAAATGTTTTGTTTTAGAATGCAATGAAGTTCTGGATCAAGAGGGTCATTAAATTTTCCCACCTGTAAGAAGGCTAGTCTTGATGTTCTGGGGAAGAAAAGGCCCTTAGAAGTCAATAGCAAATTTGCCATGGTGACTTTCCGAATTGCAGCATGTATTGCAAGAGACAGATAAGTGCAAATCCTGCATCTGGGTCAGGGCTATCTCAAGCACAGGTACAATTGGGTGGAGAATGGCTTGAAAGCAGCCCTGAGGAGAAGGATTTTGATGGTTGATGAAAGATTCAGGTGGTTGATGAAAGGCTGCACTTGCAGCTCAGAAGGCCAACTATATCCTGCATCCTTGCATCAAGAGAAGAGTGACCAGCAGGTTGAGGGACTTGATTCTGCCCCTCTACTCTGTTCTTGTGAGACCCCTGGAGTACTGCATTCAGTTCTGGAGCCCCAACACAACAAGGACATAGAGCTGTTGGAGCAGGTCCAGCGGAGGGCCATGAAGGTGGTCAGAAGGCTGGAGCATCTCTCCTGCAAGGAGAGGCTGAGAGATTGAGGGCTGTTCAGCCTGGAGAAGAGAAGACTCCGGGGAGACCTTATAGCAGCCTTTCAGTACCTGAAAGAGGGCCTACAGGAAGGGTGGGTGGGGACTTCTTATAAGGGCATGTAGTGACAGAACGAGTGGAAATGGTTTTAAACTGGAAGAGGGTAGATATTAGGAAGAAATTCTTTACTGTGGGGGTGGTGAGACACTGGAACAGGTTGCCCAGAGAGGTTGTGAATGCTTCCTCTCTGGAAGGCCAGGCTGGATGGGGCTTTGAGCAACCTGGTCTAGAGGGAGGTGTCCCTGCCTAGAGTAGGGGAATTGGAACTAGATGATCTTAAATGTCCTAAACCATTTTATAATTCTATGATTCTATGATAATGCAATACTCACAGTGGATTTTTCTTTTTTAATTATCTCAGAGGTAATGTTCAGCTGTCTATAGAAGACAACTCTGCCAGGGTAGCAATTCTTTGTAGAATGTATGTAACCCATATGCTGGGTAAATAGTTGAGTGAAAAACAGATGTGAACCCATATCATCCTAGGAATTATAAAAAGATGTAACTGAGTGGAAATTACAAAATGATTCTGTTGATACACGTGAAAAGTGAACCCTGCAGTGGTTGTACTACTCATTTAAATTATATGGTACCAATAAGAAAATTATTAAAATACATTTTTTTGCCATTAAAACTGTCAAGTATGTCTGAATGCTAATAGCTATAGGTTTTATTAACAAGAATATGGCAACTCTTTTCCAACCTCTGTTAAAAAAAAAATATCTGTGAAACCAAGAAAAAATTGGCGAGCAATGCTGAGATAAGAGAGGTGATGGCACTGAAAGGCAGCACCATTAAAGTCAGCTTTAATGGCTTTGAAAACTTTGTCCGGCTGCAGAATTAATAGAAAATAGTAACTCAGGGGGAATAGAAGACTGAGTAAAGATGTTTCAGGGTATGTGAATGCAGAGGAAAGAGTGGAGAACACAGAGGTCTGCTCCCACCAAATGGAGAAGTAACATTTCTGCAGTACTGCTCTGGTCTTTGTACTTTTACAGCCCTGGAAAAGGTATCACATCTTCCATCAGCCACATAATAAGAAAGGAGTGGGGTTGGATGTATGTGGATGAGAGTCAGTGCCCAGTGAGGAAGCAGAATTAGTTTGTCATAGAGGCACAGCTTAGATGGTCATGTTGCTGACTTTGTTTCATGTTTGTCCCCATGGCAGTAGAAGCACCAAGCCAGAGGGAAGGACTAGGATTAAGGAATTTTTTGCCAGTTGCCTTTCTTTTCTTTTTCTTTATTTTTTTTCATTCCTTTCATAAAAGTTGTTTTGATGAAAATTACTACAAAAAGTAGTCAACATACTTAGCTGCAGAAGAGGTTAATGCAAAATATCCTGGGTTTCTCTTAAATGTGAAGGAGGTGCAGAGTCAGCTTTTTTTCAGAAACAGAAGAATGCTTTGGTCCAGGAACAAATGTCCCTGAGAGGGGATTTGTTTTCAAGGAGACCAATGCCAAACCTTATCCTTCTTGTTCAGGTAGGTCCCAGCTGGGAGTCTGTTGGCATCTTGGAAGCCATTATTCTAGTGGAGCATTGCATTTCAATTTCTCTGGGCTGTACTGTTGTCGAGTTCTTCTAGCAGATTTGAGACTGCTGTGACTGTTAGGGAGTTGCTAAATCTAGCATCCTGGCAAGGCAGAGGCTGATGTGGGTCCATGCCCCAGTCCCAACCAGTAGCAAGGCCAAATATGTGTTTCCAGTAGGCACACAGACACAAAGGTATACGTATGTGCTACATACATCCACACAGATAGTTATACAGGTTAGTTATAGTTATACAGGCATGCTCACACAAGCAGCACCTTCATCTCACCTCTGGTTGATCAGGATGAAAGTTTGGTTGACAGGAGAAAAAAAAAAGTATGTATATGTATATATCATACACACATACCCACAGTTTGGGTCCCTGCCATAGTTGGGCTTAGACAATCTGCCCAGTAGTCAGCACTGAATATTGATCTTCCATGTATCTGAGCATGCAAGCCTCATTCTAGCTGTTGATTCACAGACCTCCATGCACACATAAGCATGCATGCATGCACCCACTGTGGATCCCACCAGTAAGGTGGCCATGGAGACCGTCTGTTCAGTAGGTGGTCCAGCATCCGTAGAATGGATGAGGGAATGGCATGGAGCTGTGTCTGGGGAGGGGTAGCTGGGGGTAGGGACAGGTTCTGCACCAGAGGGTGGTGGGCATGGAACAGGCTGCCCAAGGTAGTGGGCATGGCACCAAGCTGTTGGTGTCCAAGCAGCATTTGGACAACATTCTCAGACATAAGGTTTGAATTTTGGGTGATGCTATGTGGAGCTGGGAGTTGGATGCAGTGATCCCTCTGGGTCCCTTCCAACTTGGGACGTTCTGTGATTCCCTGATAATCCCAGGATGCTCTTCCCCTGTGTCTCATGATGAGTCCCACTCCCCTGACAGTGACCCCCCCGTAGATTCCTGATGGAGCTGAAGGAAATACAAGTATGGCATATCAATATTTACCAGTGCAGCAGTCACATCAGGCTATTTCTCAGTTTCATTTCCAGGCAGTGTTTGGCAGCAACCAGCTGGCTGAACAGCATGTGCACGTGGGCCAGCTGGTTGCACCCTGTGCATGAGGTCTGCGAGGGCTGTCCATGTACACTGAGTGCAGGATGAGCCACAGGAAGGGGGGTCAAGTGTCCAGTGCCCAGTGGGTATTTTGGGCAGTGTGGGAATGGGGAGGAGAGCTGATCTGCAAATTAACCTGGTTATGTTGATGTTCAATTTTTATAAAGTTTGTTTGTGATGCTGTTTTCTTTCTTTTTTTTTTATTATTCAGATTCCTTTGGGACTCTTGTTCTTCCAGTAGTAAGTATTTATTTCCTTTCCTTTGAAGAAAATATTGACTGCCGGAGATTTTTCAGCAGTTATTGTTGATGAGAGTATGATGTATGTGATGAGTATTTGCTGACGGTTAAGCTAAGAATTTTCACATCAAGTGCTCCACAGTTTATTGCAAGTAACTACGGAATTTGTGAGCTGACTTCCAACATCATCACAAGCTATCATAAAGACTGAGCCCAGAACTTTGCTTTATGATTTATTTATTTTTTTTTTATTAGCTGCTACCCCTATTTCTACACCCCTATTTAATTCTGAAGGTTTACTTGAGCTGAAATAATTGTGCAAAGTAATAACCGAATCAAAGAATTGCAGGTGTTGGAAGGGACTGCTAGAGCTCATTGAGTCTAACCCCCCTGCTAGTCTAACCTGACTGCTAAGTCAGGTTCCCCCCAGTAGCTTGCACAGGTAGGTGTTCAGATGGATCTTAAGCATTCTCCTCCGAAGGAGAATCCACGACCTCTCTGTGCAGTCCCTTCCAGTGCTCTGTCACTCTCAATGTAAAGAAGTTCTTCTGCATATTTTTGTGGAACTTTCTATGTTTCAGTTTTTGGCCACTGTTCCTTGTCCTATTACTATGCACCACTGAAAAGAGTCTGGTCTCATCCAGTTGTCTTGGGCATTTTAGATATTTATAAACACTGACCAGATCCTCTCTCACTCTTCTCCAAGCTGAACAGACCCAGGTCTCCCAACCTTTCCTTGAACAGGAGATACTCCAGACTCTTTATCATCTTTGTTGTTCTAATAACAGAAAAATATTAAATTAAAATAAAAGCATCGCTCTTATTTATACATAGTTTTCTTGATGATTTGTAAATGTGCATTCAGTGGAGGTACATAGTAAACTAACCAGTCAACAAAAACGCATGATACGTAATGCAAAAGTGCATAATTGTTTACTAAGTAGGCATGAATTTATAATCTTGTATGCTTATCTTGAAACTTTGATCTAAAGAATTAGGTATTTGTGTCAGGAAAAAAGCTTTTTACCAAACTCTTTTGTGTGTGTGTGTGTGTGTGTGTGTGTGTGTGTGTGTGTTTGAACATCTGTAAGCCTGAATATCCCTAAAAGCAGTAGGTTTAGGTTTTGATCTTAGGTTAAATGTATATCTTATGAAATACTCGGGAAATATTTCATAAATGGATAATCAGTAATTATGAGCAGTTCAACATTGTAAAGAATTCTAGGTTAAAATGTATCTATAAAAAACATAAATTAGAAAACATTAACAATTCAATATTAAAAAAAAAACAAACCCAAACCACAAAACCCCAAACAAGTTAGATTAGCAAGTTCTTTAATATAATTTGCCCAGTCTAAGAGCATCCTTATGTCTTACTAGGCTTCTACAAAATCAAATTCCATAATCACTTCAATAGTACTAAGAGTCTATTTTTTTTTCTAGAATATTTCAAGCATACAATAAACAAAATAGGGGACCCTCTATCCAGCTCAATCTAAATTTGCTAGCCTGCCTTACCACTGCTCGAATGAAACAGTGCCTTCTTTGAGCACCCTTTACACATTTCTTGAAGATTCAGGGTGTGTTGTAGGGATGGGAGGGGAGTGGTTGGGCACTGTTAGAATGTAACCTGTCAGGTTAGGAGAACTGACTCATATTTTTAATGGTGAGATTTTTTTTTGTTGTTCATGTAGCTATGGTAGACTTCTGTATTGCCCAAAGTATACTTGGCTGGTAGCACAAAATGGGTAATAGTTTCAGTTGTCATGTTTTCCAGAGGAGACAAGAGCTTCCTTGTCTGAGGTGCTCGTGAGGGTGGCTGATGTGGTTAGGGGAAGGGCTTGAAATGGTCATTTTCTCTCTTGTGTTAGGGGTTCCAAAACAAGGATAGTAATACCATATAGCTGGGGAGTGTATCAATTAAGATAAAATGTATTTTACAGTAAGTTTCTGCTAGGTACTGTTTTAAAAATGCATAGCTCATACATGGGTTGAGAAATATCCTTTGGAGATGGAATTGATGGGGCTGAGGCAAATGGCTACCATTATTTTAGCAGTGAACTTCCAGAAACGTTGTGTTAATTCAGTTGCCATTGGCATGGCTACATGCAACAAAATTTGGGTTACTTTACACCTCAGATGTCCCAGTATGCTGCAGTACAATGCAAACTTCTGTTGTCTTTGGATTTTACATCCACAAAGGTACAATAGGCAGCTTTGTCACCACGTTATGATATAAAAAGTATCAAGACATTAAAAATCAGGGCAAAATCCCATGTAGCTTTATTCATGATAGAAAAGGGCTACAGAAAAAGGAGGTCTATAAACAATGACTGCAGACTTTTAAAGAAATGTTTTAAAATAACGTTGTAAGAGCACTATTCATAGCTACAGTGAGGAAAAAGCAAGCCTATTTTACACCTAATTTGACATTGAAGGTTTGTAATGTTTTTGGGAGTTCTTGCAGAAAATTCTGTCTGCCTCTTAGGGAATAAAGCATATTAAATAAGCGATAGTATTCTTAAATGAATTAATTGTGAGTTTATATTTGACAGATGTAGTAACTAAGGCTGTTCCTCCTGTCTAATATATTCCAGAATACTTGGCGAGAAAGTTTGAGTGTTGAAATATGTGAATCATATGTTCTTGGCAGTGTGTATACAGTGACCTGCAGTTGAAGGAAATGCAGAGTCAATTTCAGTCTAGTGTTTTGCACCTAGAATTTGGTTATATAAGTCCAGCTTTTAAAGGGTACTGTTTCTCCTGTGTCATCATATGCCTGTTTGTGGGTGGAAAAAGAGAGCCTATTTATTTTTCCTCTCAATGGTTTTTCCTTTCAACTTGTTTTTCAAAACAAACTCAACAGAGAGGGATGAAACTGTAGTTAATTCCTGTTTATAGGTAAATACATGGAGAAGGAAATATATTTGCTAGAGATATTTGCATTTGTGGTATTTGTCATTGTCGTATTTTTCCTCATTTTGGAAAAAAAAACATTATTTCACTGTATGTTCTTAAAATGAGTTTTGACAGCAAGGCAGCATTTCATTATAGAGCCTGGTAGGATACTTTTGAAGTGCTGTGCCTGGTGAGTTAACAGATGTAATTTTCATTACCAGTGCGAGAAGAGAGCTTAATTTCCATATGTTATCCTGAAAAATGTTAGCCTGTCTGTTTTAGTTGTCTTAACTTCAGAGGCTGTACTCCAGATTTGCTGTTCTAACTACAAACAGAAGCATGTGACTCCTAAGCTTTTTAGCAGCACTACTTGCTGGAACCAGCTGCATGCTTTGATAAACCCTTTCCATCTTCAAAGAGAGAGTTCTAAGCAGATGGCAGGACAGAAGTTTGCATCTGGGCTGGAATGTACCTAGGTCATTCCTTGTCTGTGCAGGCTCTGCTCAAGGTGACATTTCCATGTCCTGCGGCAGATCTGCTTAGAGCCTTTAGAACTTCTGTAGCTGACGTTGCTCCACCTAAGTGCAGGAAGTGAACTGGTGTATCTAAATTGTGAGCTCCAGATTTCTTCTACTCACTGGAGGGAGACACCTGTGTGTGGTTATTCTTGTCTTATGTGGTCCAGCTTTCCTAGCTTGCACTGTCTGCCCGTGTTTGCTGCCAGCACTGAAGGAGCTTTCAGTGTCTGTCCTTAACAAGGCATCTCAGCTAACTGTATAAAGTCTCTCTACATTTGTTCTTCATACTTTGGGAAGAATATTTATCTTACTGGTTGAACTGTAGTACTTACTGTAATTATGAGTCATTAAAAGCACTGAAATGAGAAAAAAATTAGTCAGTTTCCATTGAAAAGCAGTATTTAGCTTCTCAGGAGACTTCCATTCTGCATTTAATTTTTCTACCATTAAAGGCGTGGAGCTGAACCTTATAAAAAGATATACAAGGTTTTCCTTCTCTCCTGCTCATCTTGCCTATATGTATCTTCTTCAGCTCTTGTATTTCTGGAAAATAAATTGCTAAAAAATGACAAAGTCTGAAAAAAAAAAAAAAAAAAGCCCCAAAACTCAAATGCAAGAAATTTCTCAATAACTGTAAAAAGAAAAGAGAGCAGAATGTGACTGTCCATTAATGGTGTATGAATACATACCTACTTATGTTATTGAAAATCTGATTACTAGCAAAAATCACAAGTATTTTGGAAGATTGCCTCTGAGAATACATTTCTATGTAATTGTTAAAGTGACTGAGTCTTGAAGTCCTATTTCTCTTTCTAAGTGTTTATGTAAGTTGACAGGGCAGAGACCTTAATGGCAAGTGTTTTATGGAATAATTTTCACACAGAGGGTGGAGACACACTGGAACAGGTTGCCCAAGGAGGTTGTGGATGCCCCATCCCTGGAGGCATTCAAGGCCAGGCTGGATGTGGCTCTGGGCAGCCTGGTCTGGTGGTTGGCGACCCTGCCCATGGCAGGAGGGTTGAAACTAGATGGTCATTATAGTCCTTTTCAACCCATGCCATTCTATAATTCTTCAGTTGTATCTTGGATAATTAACAGTGATGCACTGTTCTCTTTTCAGTTGCCATTGGAAAGTGCTTCTGGGACTTATGAATTACTGGTGGAAGGCCATGCTGATGGCCAGCGCGTCTTCTCTAACCGTACCAGCTTGATATACACGGCAAAGAGTATCTCTGTATTCATTCAGACTGATAAATCTACATACAAACCAGGACAGGATGTCATGTTTCGGATTGTCACGGTCTATCCTGATCTCAAACCTTACAAAGCTTCTCTAAATATATATATACGGGTAAGTATCCACAGGAACCTAGTTATACATTGGAATTTTTCATATATTCCAACTTTACATGCTAAACACAGGTGATATATATTGATGCCTAAATCTTGCTAGCAAAGCCACTTGCATTTAACATGGACCCTGACTTTTTTTTTCCTAGGACCCTCGGAAGAAGTTGATTCAGCAGTGGTTGCTGGAGGAGGGTGATTTAGGTGTAGTTTCAAAAAAATTTCAGTTATCAAAGGACCCTCCACTAGGAGACTGGTCCATAGACGTGGAAGTGAATGTGAGTATTAGCAGTGTCAGCTGACACTGAAATTTCATTTCTTCTGATAGATGTCCTGATAGATGTGAATAAAATAGTGTTTGCTTTGCTAAAGTAAAGCCAGAAATAAATATGGATCATGAGAAGAAATCTTTCTTTCATGTCAGACCCCTCAAACTGATGCAAAGCTCACAAGTTTTTCAGTAGTGAATGGTTTTGTAAATAAATACATTAAGAAAAAAATATATTAAAGAAAAAAATAGAAGCAAGCATGCTTATTTTATCCTAAGGACTGGATTTTGATTCTAAAATGTGTTATCTGAAAGTGTGTTGAAGAAAGAGCATGTGGAATACTATTTTTTTTTTAAAGTGAAACAACCTTACCTTTATTTTGAAAGCTAATACATAGAAATTCACTGTTCTCTGGTGTGCAGCCAGTCACTATCTCAAGGGTGTGGCATCCAATACTGTCATTTATAAATGCTTGTTTAGTCTTAGTGGTGTTTCAGCATTTCACAGTGACTCAATTGTTACTGAGGAAAAAGTAACTATGCAAAATAGAAATGATGAATACTGAAGCAGAACTATTTCATAACAAAGCTGGTAGAATTTATTTGGCATGTTGCTTTGGTAACAGTCCTATCAGTCCAAATCCTTTAAGATTCTCATACACTTGTAGATGCATTGTCGAAATAGCTGGAGGTTTAGTTGTTCAAGACTGTGTGTGTCAAGTTCGTTCAGACTGCTCTACATCCCCGTAGTATGGGAACTGCATTTCCGAGTTGGCTTGCAACAACTGCTCAGAGACATTTAGCAAGTGCAAACAGAACTGTGCAATGTTTCCTAATAACATGAGGCAGAAGAAGAAAACCTCATTTAGTTATGTATAACTTCAGAATGATATTTGCCAGTAGGAGTTATATCTTCATAGATTTTCTAAGATAGAGGAGGTGTTCAACTGATGATCAAGACTGGGTTTTTCAAACATATTTTCATGTAGGTGTGGGTTCATTGCTATTGTCCTTGTTGGGAAAAATGCTTTAAATTGTTCTTAGGCTTGGCTGCTCCTTCCCATCCCTGTGCTGCTGCTTAGCATCTTCTCAGTAGTGCTGAGGCATCTGTAATGAGGCTGAGATTTAAAGTGGATCAGGGAAATTGAAAAGTTTGAAGATTAAGGCACTTTGTTTGACCTAGTCCAGTTCCCTGATCTGGTTCTCAGCACAGCCCCACTCACAAATGCACAGGCACTTTTCAGGATGGGGGGGAAGCATGGCTCAGACAAAGGAGAAGTCTAGAATGGTGGGCTTCTTTAACAGCTCTGCTAGAGGAAAAAAAATAGTGTGAAGTTGTGATAGGACTTTCTGCTATGTCATGAATAATCCTGAAGTCAGGAAAGACTGCTGAAGGAAAGACAGCAGCTGTTCTCAGGATCTGAATATAAATGTCATTCCCTCTTGAAATAACTAAATAAATAAGATCAAAAAATTGTGAAATTGGAAGAAAAATGCCACAGATTCATCTAGGCTAGTGAAGTAGCTGAGAAAACAGTCAACAGTCAAGTAAAATTTCAATAGATGATAGGAAGTGATACTTCCAATTTTAACTGTGAAATATGTACTGCATACATGTCATTAAGTCAGGAAAACAAGTCTCTCAAGTCATGAGTAGCAAGAAGGAGAAGATAAATAGGGAACATTTTGTTCACTGTCTCTCCTGAAACTTAGCTAGAGGGCAATTTCAAACCAATTAAAATGGCACAAGTAAACCATAGAGCTCATCATGAGCATTTGTTATGAAATTCCCAATGGATCAAAGGCAATGGCTGGGCAAATTCACAGAGGTAAAGGCTGTTAAGAATCGTGAACTAAAAACTCTGACCCCTGGTTCAGGAGGTTCCCCAGTCTCAGGCTGGCAGAAAGTTGATTGCTGCCAAAGGTTGTACATTGGCCTGGATTCATGTTAGATCTGTGAGTTGTCTTTATTCTTTTTCACTAAGAACACCCAATTTTCCTGATTATTAATTTGTAAATCTTAGTGTTCTAGCATTGAATGTAGCCTTGAATGCCAGGTTTCGGATCCTTTAAATAGAGTTCCAAATGCTTCAGTGACATGAAGGATATCCAAGGGCAGAGATAATGCCCATCTAACTGGAGTACTTTGTCTATTCATCATTGTTTCAGGAGACAATTCAAGGTGAAAAGCACTGCAAAATGCTTTTCCTACATTTAACAAAATGCTCTGTTAGGAAAAGATAAACTTGGTCAGAACAGAAACAGGATTATTTTGTTTTCACTAATGAAGGATACAGTTCATACTTAAGAAAGACAACATCTAATAAGCGAGGGAAAAAAGAGGGGGTATTAGGTAGATACCATTCCAATGAGAAACTCTGAACTCTTGCAAATCTGTAGGAAATGTAAGGATTCTGAAGAGAACTTGATGGTTAATAAAAGTATGAAAGAGTTCTTAAAGTTAGCTAGAAACAAAAGAAATTCCAGAGGAGGCAAAGCCCAGTAGCATGAAGAAACAGTGAATCTGTGGCAGAGATGGGAGTATGTAATATGTATTATGATAGCTCTATGTGGTTCAGTGAATTTCACTGTGAGAAGACTTAAGAAGACAAGCAGAAGATGAGTATGTCCTTGACAGGAAAGAGTAAGTGAGGTAGGAAGGAAAACCTGTCATATGGCATGAATTTGAGAAAAATATCAATTAAGGTGATGTGGGAATCCACATCAAAGAATTAAATTCTTTTGGGCTATTTTGGATTTAATAGGTAGGTAGCTTTATTCGCATAGCAGATTTTTGTAAAGGTTTTTTTTTTATTGTATAAAATTCTAATGAAAAAATGTCAATGCAATATACATGAAGTCTATCAAGGGAGAGTGGCTTGAGTATTGGGGCAAATGTCAGTCACCCAGGGTGTTTCTAGTACAAACCAATGATAGAGTTTGCAGATGGAGATGGGAAAGAAAGCTTATTGCTGGGGACTTGCAGATGTTCAATGCTGACTGTACACTGAAGGATAAAACGAATCAGTGGATTTATTGTTTACAATCTCTGGGTGCCATTACAGGTTTTAAAAAGCTTTTTAATGTATTAGAGGAAGGCATGCTATGAACCAGCTATTAGAAATTGAAACTGGAGAGTTTCTCTTTTGCACAGACATTTGTTTCATCAGTAAGGCTATTAATCACCTGAACAAACAAATAAAAAAATGAAATTGAGGGCTTCTCTTTTGCCCAATGCTTTAGCATCAAGAATGATTGCCTTTTTGATCAATGCATTGAAATCAAGCAGACTGCTGGAGTAGCTGAATTCTAGAATAACTAAACCTGTGATAAAAGGAGGTCAGGTTAAATGGTTTCTTCTGTCACTAAAATATATAAAATCAAAATACAAATAGAGGAGAGAAGGAACAGTGTATCTAAGTAAAAATGTAGGCTTTGGGGTCCAGAAAAACCTGGCTGTTCTTATGATGTTTAAACTATAGGGGGCAAAACACCACATGTAGAAGTTTGTTTCCTTTCAAAAAGGGCCTTTTCCTCCAGAATGCACACCTCTTTGATCTTCAAATTTGGTGTTGAAAGAATATAATGACAAAGCAGCACGCGTTATTTCTGTATGATGTAGCATGTATCTGCACAATACCTTACACTGGATGATCCGATCATGCACAAAAGTATATTAAACAGCTATGCACTATTTTGCTAAGTCTGTCTATTGGGCTGTTTCACACTCATTTTTCTGATAGCATATCATACTGTTTGATTAATGAAAGATGCAAGAAACCTTGCAGAACAAAGGAAAAGAAGTAGTTAACTGATGGGAAATTTCTTTTGGTTCTTAGTCAGAAATGAGCTTATGCTTTGAATGTCAAGATCGTATAGGAGGGGATTTGGTTTCAGGTTTATAGCATGTCTATCCATAATTTATGGTGGGTATTGAAGTTCCTGTTTCAGTTAGTGGAGGTTGAGTCAGTGTTCAATTAAAGCAAGTGAGTGGCTCAGATCACTCTGAGTAGGTATTCCTGTGCTGCAGCTGTCATTAAGGGAGGTACAGGTTTTTCTGTATTATATATGAAGTTGCAGATTCACTAATCCTGTCCTGAGAGTAGGGGTCACTAAGATCTTGAATTTAGTGCTAAGACATGCTTAGTGTGTCTGTCCTGCATTTTGGTGGGTTTGGCATTTTTGTAACTATACTTGTCTGTAACTGGTACTGCTTGACTGAGTCCACAGTATCCGTAGGATCTTTTGGATCTACTCAGGGCTTTAGGAACATCTTCAGATTGCAAATGGGGTGATCTCTGCATGACTTAGCTATCCTGATGCCAGCACCTGGGCTTTCTCATTTAGTTTCAGCAGTCAACATTTCTCATCTTGTCTTTAAAGTGCCATAAAATCACTAAATAACACTTCCCTTCCAGTGGTTACAGATCAGTTCCCAAGAGTGCAGAATTTGGATTCTTGGAAGTAGTGCCTTTGAATCCTGTTTTAAATCAGGTTCTGGCTGCTTGCTGCTATTAAACATCCTGTAGTACTTCTAATAAGAGTACAGGTGTTAGTAGAACTCTTCCAAGAAAGCTCAAGACAGTGTAATTACAGTCTGGTTCCCAAGTCTCCACCTTGTATTTTAGTTGGATATCTTATATTTCCTGTTATGGAGCCTGCTGCTGAAAGGCTTTTAGTTGCTGAGTTTTAGTAGGAGATATCTCAGTCTAAAAGTTTTTCTTCTAAGGCTTTTTGCAATCTAATTGATGGAAGTTCTTGTCTGAAAATTTTTGACACAGGAATAGTGATGATTCGGGAGCAATGAGGGCTTTCTAAAATATTTTTGAAGAGTACTCTATTTTTAAAAGTTTCAGAGACAAAACAACTTTCAGTTGGACTGAATGATTTCAAACAGGGCTGGTTCATCACAGCAGAGCAAAAGTTGAACTGTCATTCTTAGATTTCAAGATCTGTAGCATCCATCTTATATGGATCTCTTTTTGGCACTTTTTTTTTTTTTTTACTCTGTATATATACTCTGAGCAATGTGCACAGAATGTTATAGATCTCTTGTGGTTTAAGAAATGCTGGTTTCTTGAGAGATCATAAAAACAGAATAAAGCAGCCTAAGTGGAATAAGCATGGAGCTTGTTTTTGTATCTGAATTGAAAAGAAAAAGATTCTCTTTTGAACTGTGTATATAACTAAGCTCTTAAAAGTCACCACTCCTGGAAACTAATTGAACAGTGTACACTTCAAAATATTTCAACAATATTTACCTGAGAGAAAGCCCTGCCCTGAAGAACTAAAGTGGTGCAAAGGGGTTGAAATGTTGTTACTTGGCCTAATTCAAACTAGCTTGGCAGGAAAGTGTGCAATAGGGAGAAATCTGGCTTGGCAGTCAAATCATCCAGTTGACCTATTAGGGTCTTTTCCTTTCCCTACACTGTCAATTCATGGCTTGCTTTCTGTAATAAAGGTTGTTATTCTAGAGAAGTTGCAGCCAAGAGCTTTAGTCTCTCTTTAATACCTGTTTTCTATTGCTTTCAGTTCCCTTAACATATAATTATTTTGTTTTAATTTCTAAGGTGAAATAAAAAGTCAAGGAGGTACTTTTTCATCCTATCACTTGGAGCAATGTTCTGCTCATGGTTTGCTTGACAGCAAGGGTGAAAAATACATGCTTGATAGTGGAAATAGAATATGTACATCAACCAAACATGGGATAAATTTGCTGAATGTCATTCTCCTAAAGATACCTGTTCCTAAGACTAATAGATAGTAATCTGATTGTGGACTGCATGTAGCATTTTGTACTGTTGTATTTTGGATCATAAGGATTATGATACGCACAAATGTGAAAGTAGCAGATTAAGCGTGCATATTTTCAAATATGGGAATATAAATATGGCAACTGCTGTGGTGATCAGTGACTTAAGTGTTCTCTGTTCATGCTCTCATCTTCTCCTGCCACACTCATTCCCACCTGACACACCTTGATGAAGTAAAGAAGCCATCTGCTGATCAGTCAAACTACAAATTTCACTTACCTCTGAGAGGATAACTGATTCCTACTTAAAAAGTGAAATATCTAAATACTGATATTACTGTGATTGTCAGTGAGACTCTTTGAACCACAGGGCCTAGGGACATCTGGCAGTTTTCTCACTTGCCAGTCATGTTTCTGTGTGCTACCTCACAACCAATTGTCCATATCCAATCTCTTTTGCCTCATATTTCAAACCATACTCATGGAAGTTCTCTAGCAAAAATGGTACTTGTAGGGAAATGAAAAATTTCTTGAAAATAAGCAAAGCAAGCAGGCTTCTGAGCTCCACATTGTCATAACCTCATCGTGCAGTTAAGCAGCACCCAGTGATATTAAAAACAGCCACCTCCTAGTGACAGACTTTTGTCTACCATGGTCTTTCCCTATTTCTCAGAAGGATCTTAATCAAGGAAGCAAACAGGCTTTCAAAAGGAGCCTTCCCCTTCTTGTCCTTTGCAATCTGGAAACTTTCATTTTCTTAGTTTGTTTTTCTGGTTCAGCTGAGTTTAGATTTTGTTTTTGTTTTTATTTTTTAAAGAAAAAAAAAATAAAAAGAATGGGAACCTAACTCTTTCATTCTGCTGCTCTTGTGTTGCTTAAGGCTTAAGATTATTTTTGGTTGCTTTTCCTTTGTGACCTGGAGCCCTGTCAGAAGGAGGAAGCCCTCATGTTGAGATGTCCCATCTGAGCACAGGAGCTCCTCCAAATGTCCCATCTGAGCACAGGAGCACCACTGGTTGCCAGAATAGCTGTTGCTGTCCCTTCCTCACATGCATTCAGTGGGGGGGGCTAGGGAGGGCATCCATGTTGGCTCCTGCTGATCCAGGCAAAAATATTTTTGACTGATTCATTTTATTTGTGGGCATGGTTTTATTGGATTATTCATTCTATTATAACAATTATTTTACTACTATTTATTATTTATGAGTATTAAAGTCAAACTTTGTAAAAATGTGTGTACACTAAACCTTACATTATTCACATTTTTAGATGAAGGCTGGCTTAAATATTTCAAAAGTAACTTAGTGATATTCTTTCTCCTCAAACAAAACTTGGAGTGATTCTGTTTTTGTATAATAATCTATGCCCACATCATTTGTTTCTTGACACTGAGAATATCAAATAGTTAGCAAGATATGGGTACAAGATGTGTTATGCTAGCAATACTTTGAGTCTTTATTTTTGTCACTGATACATTGCTAATCGTTATAGAATGTGCTTACAAGTTCCATATGGCTTAGTGAGACACAGTCTGATTGATTAATGATTACAAAATAGCCTTGTGACAGATAATTTGATCAATGTAATCTTGGTGTTAGGCAGATCAGTTGAGATTCAGAGCTCCAGTTCCAGGTACCTCATGCCATTTCCCTGCTGATGGCAGCTTTTTGGCACGGCACTGTAAAAATGAGAATTAAGGGTTATGCGCCAGAGGACAAATGACTTGCATGCTTGCTCAAAATTACTCACACTCTAACAAGGAAGAATAATTGAGTAAGACAACAGAAGCAAAATTAATGTCTCATTACCCTGACTTTTTGGGTCAACTGTCATTGCACCAATGAACAAAAATAGCTGCTGATTTCTTAAACTTTTTTTAATGTTAAGAGAGCACTGTAACAAACAAAACGAAAACAAACAAAGTGTAAAATTAATTTCCTAAGATGTGCTGTGTATGACCTGAGATACCAAATCTCAATAATATTCCAGAATAGGCTTTTAGATATTCCAAGAAAAATTAAGAAATGAAAAAACAAACAGAAAAATAGGAAAATAGAAGAAACTTAAGATTCTTTACAGTTGCTTATTTCTTCCTTTGATTTTTAACCAATAAATAAAAGTCAGAAAGATATAACTCAAGACATCTCTGCTGAAGTAAGTACATAATGCAGACTGTTAATTAAATCTTAGTCTTTTTTGTTTTTTTTCTTAAGTGAATGAAGAGCCTTAAGATTATATACATGCTTTTGAAGTGGTCTTGTCTTCTAGATGCACTACAGGGACTTCCACTTGCATAGAGATACCAGAGTTAATTCTAAATGAGTTAGCAAAGATACTGCTGGTAGTTCTGTCATCTTTCATCTTGATCACTGTGAATGCTTAATGCTTGATAGTTTTAGGCTAGCTGCCTCAGATATATCTATATACAGAAACCAGCCATATGTAGATATTTGTAGACTAACAGCTCTCTAAGGACTCCATTATATATGTAATGAATCTACTATATGTGAACTACCTGCATGCATTTTTGGTGCAAATATCTTCAGCTGATTCTTGCAGGAACTCTGTAACAGGAGCTGATGGTGGTTGATCTGTAATTTAAAATTACATAATTTCAGCAATTATAATTTAAGCTGAGTATGTGTGGGATTGGGCCTAAAAATGCATTAAACATGCCACTCTAACTGCAACTGTATGTACTTACGTATTTATTTTTTTTCAATAGGGTCAAGTACATTATCAAAGTTTTAAAGTGATAGAATATGGTAAGTGTTATTCAAGGACATTTGGTACTGACCAAAATTAGTAACTGAGTCTCCATTAATTTAGAGTTTAGAGAAACTAACTAATCTTGGCTAACACAAACTTTTTGAATACTCCCAGAAAGTTTAATTTCCAAATCTGCTTCTTTGAGACTGACTGTCCTGGGGAGAAACAACATCTCATCAGCTGCCCTACTTATTTCTGGTAGCTTTAATGACCTACTGCTGTAGCATCTGAATGTTGTCTTGTCCCTGTTTTCCCAGGAGCTTCCAGGCAATGTGTTCATCACAAAAGATCTGTATAATATTTGATCGTGAAGCTTCCTGATAATTCTGTGAAGGTTAAACAGGCCAAACATTTACTGCTTCCTCTACAAGCTTGCTTTGAGAAAGGAGAAACAAACATATTTTATCCATACAAGGTTGTGCACAGGCTGCTTTTGTGATGCTTAGTGCCACCTTTTGACAAACTATCTTAGACTGAAGCATGCATAGAACTGTGTTAAAAATATATCTTACATTATAGTCCTCAGGAAACTGCAATAGTCTGTACCATATTACATATTCAAAATATGTAAAAGTTATTTTGATGTGAATTAAATACTTTACTTTTTTTTTTTTTTTTTTTTTTTAGTTTTACCAAAATTTGATGTTACGATAACAACTCCATTATACTACTCCTTGAGAGAGAAAGATGTAACTGGCGTTGTCACTGCAAAGTAAGTAAAACACTGATACTGTTGTTGTGCTGTCTGTTAAGATAATGGTCTGTAAATATTAAAGTAAAAACATGCTAAAATGCTAAACGAGTATCCTCTGCTGTGCATTAGCTGGCTAGTTTATATTCCTAGTTACCGGATTTTTGTGTAACAATGTTAGACAGATCTTCAGACTTTCAGTTGCACATTTTTGGTTAGGTATAGGTATTTCTAGACTACAGCCAAGATATTTTCAACTGACTTATTCATAACATTTCTTGAATCTTCTGTTTATAATGTAAATTTTGAGACTTTTTTTTTCTGTTATTATGTCTCTTTCATTATGCTCTCCAAAATATCACATCAAATTCCTTAGATAGAGTAACTGTGTTTTACTATACCAACAGGAAAATTATTCAAGGTTCTATTCACACCCCTCTTATACTGATTTATCCATGTTATGGATTTGAACTATAGGCTTCTACTGGCTTACAAAATACCTATACCTGTAAATTGATGAAGAATTGAAAACTCTTGAGAAGTTCAGAACGGACTTTACTGTAGACTACTATTCATAATTGTAGACTGCTGTACAAATAATATTTTATTTTTTAATCTCAGATAGAAATGAATTTTATTTTGGGAAGATGAGAGCCAAGTAAAGCTACTTGGTAAACAAGAAGACCTGAAAGTCTTTCTGGAGCTATTTCATTCCGTTAAAATGCATACCTTCAGAACAGTAAATTCAAGATTGATTAACAGTCTGTTTAAATGTGATGTTTGGACTTCTGAGAAAAAGCTTCTTTCCTGGAGGCAATGCAATCCAATACTACAAACGATGTAGGTTTCTCATTAGGTGTAATAAAAAAAAAAAAAAAAAAAAAAAAAAAATCCACTTTTTTTTTTTCTTCTTCCTATTTTTCTTTTGGAGTATATGCCAATGTGAATTTGGTTTCCTAATTTGTTTTGGTCTGCCACAAGATACTTGTCTCCTTTGTTAAGGTATTTGAAAGCATACCTGTCTGCTGCAATAAATCCAGACTTGGGCGCCAGTGAATAGTCTGGGATTGAATCCCAGCAGTGCCAAAGTTTTACTGATATGTCATAATTATTTATAGGGAATGACTTCATTCCTGGTGACTGTTTTTATAGGCAAAATGTCTCTGCATACAAGGACTTTACATGTCCTTTAAACTTGTAGATGTCATAAATCCTTTTTCCTTTCTCATTTCTGTGCTATTGTTAGATTAACTACAGGATGTTATCCAATGACAGTAATATTTCAAGCTTAATAGCAGCTTCTTTCTGTAATTAGATTTAACGGGAAAGACTGCAGCTCAGGTGCAGGACAGCGATGTCAGAAATGTTCCTGTAACTATGCTATTTGATTATCCTTTTCCTCTCCTTTCGTGTTTCTTAAGTGATTGCCGGTCATATCCATACTGACCCAAACTACTTAGTTATCACACCTGAATGTATTAATACTGTTGGAATAGAATGTTATTTTGTCCTTATTTCCTACTCTACAAGGTCTGACTAATGATTTCTGTTACATATAGGTTGGAAGTGTTGAGCAAAATCTTTGATTTATTACTACTCACTAAGTATGTTATAGTTTATAAATTAGCTACAGCTGCCAATTGTGTTTGCTGTGCAATAATGCCATGATTTGTTTGCAAATTATTTGTTTGTGATTATTAAATAATTTGAATATACGTAAATATCTTGAAATCACTCATTTTGTATATTCAGTGTTTGGGAAGCAGAACATTTGCGCTTCCCACATCCCATTTTAACTCTATTGTGTATTATGGTGCTATATGTTCTGTTCAGTAACTTGCTTAGGTTAACATAGCTAATTTGCCTAAATTGTACAGCCCATAGTAACAGACTTGTAGAGCTCGTGTTCAGCAAAGGACAGCACTTCCCACTTCTCTGTATATTCTCTAAGTTTTGGGCTTCTGACTTTAGTGTTAATGAAGCACTGAAAACATCATGGTTCAAAGTAAAAATACATTCTATCTATATTTGAAACTCAGGAAAAAGTATTTCAGTGGATCTTTTTACCTTCAACGCTCTTCAGGAGCCCAGGCTCTTGAGATAATGCATTGTTTTGCTTTGCTTGGTGTGTTTCAGGTATACATATGGAAAGCCGGTGAAGGGAAATGTGACAGTCACCTGTCTGTCTGTCTCTTACTGGACAAACAAGAGGAACGTAACAAAAACAATGGAGGTGAGTCTTTTGTTAGCAGTTCAGTAGTGTCGTAGAGTCCAAAGCTGTGTCTGCTTTTGAAGGTTAAATATGCCTGGGACCATTCTCAAGTGCTGGTGTTCTGCTGGCGTAGTCTGTGGAGTGACTTGCATGAATAGTGTTTAACTCTATTTTCTAGTACAAAGTGGCTACGTTCAGACTGCCTGTTGGGAGTGATACTTGGCCACTGTAATCCCTTGAACTATGCCTGGAAGTTATTTTGGAGAGCAGTAGCTGGCCCAAGTAGAAAAACATTCCTAAAGCCCTTCTAGCAGCATAGGTGATGGAGGGCCAGTGCCCAGGAATGTTCCTTGGCACTGAGCATGCCATTACACACTCAACTCTGTGTTATAAAGGCATTGCAATTGTCCAGGTAGAATTCTAGCATGGTGGTGTCAAAAGAGTTTTGCCTACTAATTCTCTAGTAATTGCATTGGAGTTAATGTGCTAGAGGTGATCTAGGGCATGACATGTAAAAAAGCATTATGTTTTGATTTGAGGACTTACTCAAAATCAGGTCTTTTTAATTTTGAACAATTAATTTGGAACAAAATTTCAGTTTCAGCTTAGTGATGTCTGTCATTTCCTGTTGGCTGGCTTTAAGGCTTCAACAGCAATTAATCTTCAGAAACAGAACTGAATTTAGGTAAAATCTATGCTCCTTCAGGCAGCTTCCAATTTGTTGTCTTTTTCTGTAAAGCATAGACACTAGTGCTCTGGCAGTGTAGAAGAGGACAATTTTACATAAAGTAATCTTTTTTTTTTTTTTTCACATTGCAGATAAATGGATCTGTGAATATTACTTGTAACAAGCTCATGTTGCAAAACTTGAATGGGGATCAGTCGTGGCACCACGGTGATGATGATTACACTGAGCCAGTAGAAATTATTGCTGTGGTTACTGAGTCACTCACAGGTATTTTGCTGTTTGAGGTTTTCCAAGAGAAATCCAAAGAGCAACTCATGCTAGAAGTGCTTAGTGCAATGCAGAGTGCCTTGGAAGTGATGGCAAAGCATCATGTACTGAAGGAATCTTTTCCATGCAAATATATTATCTGAATTGTTACTTGCCTAGTTATTAAATAGTTTGACTAACTGTTAGCTCTGCTGAATGTAGTTCTACACTAAATGATTTATTAAGTAACCAAGGGATTTGTTCAGATGAGGGCTTAAACTCAATAAAAGGTTGTTTTGATGTGAAGAGCAGGCGTAAAAATAGCATTGGGTTGCCTTATAAGCTTTAGTTTAATCATAAATGTATTTTATTTATTTGCTTGTAAACATGAGTAGAAGGAGTTCACTGGCAGTTCTAGTAACAAGATTTCATTACAGAATTTCTGTTTGAAGCCCAGTAAGGTGGAAGTTGGCTGATTTGTGATTCCTCGTATTGTCATTCTGAAAATAGTATTCATAGAGTAGATCACAGTGTGATATGACTTATTTATTGTCATGGGTAACAGTGCCATATCATCTCTTTACTGATACTTAGCTGGAAGGATGGAGAGCAGTCAGAGTGGAAATGGTGATAGAATTGATGAATTATCTAAAAATCTAGTAAAAATTAAAAAAAAATCTAAGAATTGAGTAAATTACTGCTACAGGAGTGTGCATACGTCTAAATGAAAGAAATTTTTCAACAGGAATCTCTCAGAATTCAAGTACTATCATATTTCCAAAGCAAAGTGACTATTTCATTGAATTTGTGGACTACTCTAGAGTCATAAAACCTTCTCTGAATTTCATCGCTACTGTAAGTTCTTTTGATTCATTGTGGTTTGTGCATAAACAAATGTGACTTTTTCTCCTGTTTTTTTGCTTAGGTACCAAAATTTGCCTCAGACTCTTAGGAGTAATTTACAAGTTTATTTTCAAATTATTTTTTCATGATATATGAAGTTGTATATATCAGGAAGTTCTAAGCTTACAGTTTTTACTCTAGCAAAGGATAAAATGATAGGAAATACCGTGTTGACAGGATATGCTAGAGTATCAGCATTGTTAAGTAAAACTTTTCAATCTCTAGCTAATATTTTCTAATAAGTTGACTGTGTTTTAGCAGTTACTGAGTCCCAACTCTCTTAATACTTGTATATAAAATGGGAAGTATGAATGTGAATATAATGTTTATTTTAAATATGCATATATAAGACTAACCAAACTAACCAACATAAGACATAATTACAAAACTAAGTACAACTCATCAAACCACGTTGCTCTGAAATGAAAGTGTCTCTTTTTTTGCATCCTGTCATGTCTTTTTCATGCTAGCTATAGTCCTCACGAAAGCCTTTCATATTTTTCATGCTCTCCTGGTCTGTGGTCAGTATTTCTGCATTTAAGATAGATTGTGTATTGCACCACTGAATGTTGTCTTTAAGGAGGAATAGACTTCATAATTCTTCAAGACAGCCAGAGCCTTTACTATGTAGAATTACCTAAATACTGTATAATGTATGGTATAAATAAATACCAATAAAATGGGTTGATTATGCAGTTTTGGATCGATGCAGGTTGTATCATTTTGCTAGCTTTACCACTGGGACTTTGGTTTTGGTCCTTTTCATTTTCTTTGCCCGCAGCCTAGTTTGACTCCAGCTCTGACCTGCTGAAGAGCTGAGAGGGAACTGAGGATTTAGCAATACTGCAGCTGGCAGAGGAGATACCAGTCATGCTCCCAGAGGAGGGGATGAGGGAACAGCTACTGCTGTTACTGGAGGTGAAGGTCTGTATGTGCTGTACAGAGAGATAAAAGGAAAATAATGGCAGAGGAGAAGAGTGACGCACTTTTGGACTGAAAAAGAAGGGTGGAAACATTTGTTCAGTGTTATTAAATGTAGAGGTTGAATTTCTGGAATATAAAATACAGAGGGAGAATGGTTTTACTGTGGATGAGAATCCATAGAAATAAAGGCTGATGTAAGTTATAGTGCTGACTGGTGGATATTAGTGTGAAGAATTTAGAGATTGTATCAATTTGAGGCTTGTTTTCAGTCTTTTCATTTCTTTCTATGAATCCATAAATACATCTCACTCAAAAGGTGATAAAATGAGTATTCAGGCAGCAGGTTAGATATGCATATTTTGCCTGATAGATAAGTATGTGGAGAAGAGGAGCTGAAATTGGAAGAGCTGAAAGGCAGATCACCTTTTCTATTTTACCTGTTTTCTTTTTAATTTTTTTTTTTTTCTCTATTGGGTAGAATTGTGAGTAGTTTTGTTTTTGACTGACTTGTCTACTAGAAGTACTCTCAAGGGATTAATTATGCTGATAAGTGAGAAACCTGGCCAATGCCTTTTTTTTATTATAATGTTGTATGTAGTTTTACCTTGTTTGATGGACATTTTCTTTCTTTTTGTTTCTAGCTAAAGGTGTCACGTTCTGACAGCAACCAGCTGACAGCTGAAGAGAGGCAGAATCTTGTCACAATCACTGCACAACAGTCGGACTTGTTTTTTCACCATTCTTCACTTTCTCACTTTGAGAATGAGGCAACAGAGGAGAGAAATAAGACTGTCCACGTCCTGAATTACACAGTCCCAGAAAATGGAATTATTGATATTGAGTTTCCAATCCTATCCAATACAAAAACTTTGAGAGTTCAGGTATTGCTCTGTAATATGTTGATTTGAAAGAGTGACACACTGAATCGAGAAGGCTATAATTAGTGGTATGCTGTTTCTGCCATCTATAACAGCCTATATACCACTTGCTATTATATATATATTTTTTTTCTTATCCATATTAGAGCTGGAAGGAAAGTAGCAGATTCTGTGTAAATGTGATCTAAATAAGTGCATCAAAGTAGCAATAGGGAAAAAAAAAGAATCATCAGATACCCAAAGCAAGAAGTTGCCTTCTACTGCAATTATGATTACCATGTTCTTCTAAACAGCAACATAGATATTGCTGCTTACAAAGCACCACAGTTTGCTGTTATGTTAAGAACTTTGTTTTGCATTGTCTTACAGGCAGAGTTCCTCAACAGTAAGACTGACATAGGCGTTTATGATGTGTTCAGCTCTCCCAGTGAAACTTACCTCCAGGTTAAAACAAAGAGCCAAGAAGTGAAGGTACAGTCTGAGACAAAACTTGCTAAGATAGGAAAAAAAAAATCAAGTTATTCATCACGTTTCCATATTCATCATTATCAATCATATTCTTTTTTAGGCTGGGAAACCTTTTGAACTAAATATTGAAAGCAACAAGCCAGTAAGAGAGTTCCATTATCTGGTAAGTTGCTATTTCATACATGAACAATCCAAGATGACTTTTATCAACTTGACAGAATCATAGGGCTTGAAAGGAACCTCAAGAAATCATTAAGCCCAACTCCCCTCTAGAGATGATTCCCTACAGCAGACTGCACAGGAAGGCATTCATATGAGTCATGAGTATCACTGGAGAAGAAGACTCCACAGCCTCTCTGGGCAGCCTATTCCAGAGCTCTGTCACTGACAGTAAAGAAGTTCTTCCTTGTTTTACTATGGAACTTCCCATGTTCCACTTTCTGCCTGTTACCCCTTGCTCTATTGCTACAGTTATATTACTGTTATATTTTTATGTACCTGTAGAACATATGGTGCTGTGCACTCATTTTTATAGTTCAGTGTTATCCATGATGATACAGGCAGGAATTAAAGCCTAGAAAAAAATTCTATTCCTAATATTTAAATATTGTATTATCCCTTTATTTCATGCCCAGTCTTGTAGAATTAATCAATCAAGAATTACAACTCTTTGCCTCTTCTTTTAAAAGCCTTTTACTGAAGGAATGACAGACCTTATGATGTATTGAGATGCAGATTGAGTATTTAATTTTTCCCTTTCAGGTGTTATCTAAGGAACAAATTATGACTTCTGGCACAATGGCTGCAAAAACATTCAATTTAACAGCAGAAAATTCCTGGGCTCCTCTGGCATGTATACTTGTATTCTATGTTGATGAACATGGAGCAGTTGTAAATGATGCTCTTACGATCCCTGTTCAGCCTGCTTTGGACAACAAGGTAATTATATTGAACATGAGCCTTAGACCATGTTTTTGTCTGTTTGTTGTATAGTAAACAGTTGTTTAGATCACAAGCTTGTAAATGTAAAACCTTCCTCATTGTGCATCTAATCTGAGGTTTGTGTAACTCTGGAACTTTCTGATAATGCCAGGACAATTAGGGTCTGGCTTTAAATGTGGGGTTATTCTGTATCTGAATATATTCCCCATAAATATACTGATAACACCTTCTTATGCTTTTAACAGTATGGCCAAATACTGAGCCAAAGATTGCTTTGGACAACATAGTAGAAAAATACTCCTAAGTTCTCTAAGTATGGAATTGTAGAAGTTTGCAAAGTTATTCCCCCTAGTCAGGTTCTCAAGCCTGTCAGGGTCCCTCTAGATTGCATCCCTTCCTTCCTGCTTGTCAACTGCAACTCTCAGCTTTGTCACTTCCACAGAACTCAGTCCTGCTGTCTACGTCACTCACAAAGATGTTCAATAGTACTGATACCAAAATGACTTGTAAGGAACACTACTTATTATTGGTCTCTATTTGGACACTGTTTGATTGCAGCTCTTGGAGTGTGACTGTCCAGCCAATTTCTTATCCACCATCCATCTAATCCATTCTGAGAATCTAAACAGAAAACAAATAATTTAGCTAAAACTTGAGAGTTCTAGGGTAGAGACAGGCGGATATTTCTAGTGAGAAAGCATAGAAATTTGGCTCAGCCTTCTGGAAAAAATGCAAATTTGGCTACTGATTTCAGTGTTCACAAGTAAGATTACAGTATATTTTGTGGCAAAGAAGTGAGGCATGATCTTGAAAATACCAGTTCAATTAAATCTAGCTTACAAATGAAAATCACCATCCTAGTGTGTGTGTACAGATAGGATGAAAAATTGAGAAGGTAAATTATAAGAATTTAGTATCAACTTTAATGTATTTGCTATGAAGACTACTTTCTCTGTAACCTGTAGATACTGTCCTAGGGCTAGTAGGAGGTTGTGTAGGTAACCTATCCACTTCTGGAGTGGGAGCTGAGGGCCAGACAGCATGCTGTGGGGACATCTCAAGTGATTTCAGATGACTTCAGCTGACTGAAGTCTCTCATCCCTGATATCTGTATGGGAATTACACATCTAAGCTCCATTTAAGGATATTCAGTTGCCCAAACTGAGTGTGGTTTTAACGATATTCTGCCTGGACTCCAGTGATTGTTCCAGAAAGGGAAATTCTGTACCACTGCACGTGACTCAGATAACTTTGAACATCTAAGATAACAAAAAGTTGTTATATAAGTGAACCCCACCTACTGCCAGTGCAGTCAGTGGAGACTACAGAACTTTTTTTTCCACCACAACTCGGATTTCTGCTCCATGATGAGAAAAACTGCTATCTAGTCACCACAACTTCCTTTTGACACTTGTCAAACTTAAACACTAAACAGAAATACAGACAGCTAAATGTAGGCAACATTAGTATGACGCTGAATTGGGTCTCCAGACTTCATAGGAATGTTATGTAGGTAAGGAAAAAGAGTAGCATTGTTCACTGCATTGTCACCTGATGCTGTGTGGATGGGGCACGTTAGAATTGCCTTACAATGGATGACCCTTCCTCATTTCACTACCTGTAGGAAGGCATACTGGTGCTGTATTTGCCTATTCACTTCCTTATTCCTTACTCATGCACCCACTATATAAACCGCTTTTTCTGTGTTGATCTCACTGTGGCATACTTCATTAAAATCTTTCAAGGATGGAGTTTCTCCCAGAAATGTATTTCCCAAAATACATTACATGCTGTGCTGCACATTGATAGAAAGAGAGAATGAATTTAATTTACTGCCCTTAGCTGTAGAAACCAGTGTATTGTGGTTTAAGAGACTGCTACTTCAAATCCAGGAGTTGTTTGAAGTAACTATATTCAGTCCAAGGATCAGCTGGGAGAGCAAGAGAGCAAAAGGAAGGCCATAGTATTTTCCCTAAGATCCTAGGAAATGCAGAGTCTTAATAGAGACTGAGAAAATACTTTCTCAGAGTTGCTAATTGAGTATAAACATCAACGTATAATTTAAACTAGTGTCTTTTTTTATAATTTACTTTTTAAACTTTTTTTCTAGATTAAAATTTCTTGGAGCAAAGATAAAGTCAAACCGTCTGAGAAAGTGTCCCTTAAGATCAGTACAACAGATCCAGAATCAGTAATTGGACTTGCAGTTGTTGATAAAAGTACAAAGCTTCTAGGAGAAAGTAGTGACATAACAGAAGATTCTGTAAGTATACAGGGAAAAAAAAGATTTTCTTTATTGTTTGTATGAAAGTTGTGTGTTTACATCGGTATTACAGCTTATAAGCTGAATGAGTAATGTTCTTTGGGTATAATGTTCTTAGCTGTGCAGAATTTTTTTTTTTTTTTTTACATCAGCAAGTAGCTTATCTAAGGCTTACAAAGTAACAGTTCCAGCACTTCTGATTCCAATTAATACTAAATTGTTTTTCCATTCAAGAAACTCTCAGTTAATGCCTGACTGTTTCTTCTTTCAGAAAAGACAAAAATCACTGAAGCTTTTTGATGATTTGTGCTTGATGCTCTTTAATATCAATTATGTAAAATAATACAAAGAATTCTGTTTTTTGAGGAGTGAAATGGTGTAATTAATCATCTTTTTGAAATCTCTTTACTTGTGGAAGCTCTAGTGCACCAACAAATTGAAAGAGTTGATAATATGCATTGTTCCTAAAGCACCCAAATGACGTAGTAGCCTAAGTGCCGTGGAATAACAGTGGGCTGTAGACTCCTGTTTTAAGTTTACGTAGTCTCAGTCACTTATTTGTTAATTATGAAATTATTGCAATCTAATCCCATTCATCTTGTCATGGATTCTTTTTCTCCTTTATGTGAGAGCTAACAGAGCTGCTGCTGCTTGGTCTACAAATGAGCATCTGTGACAGTGCTAGGAAAAATAAAGTATTTGCATTTATTTTTTGGGTGATATTATGGTTGGTTTTTTTTTCTTTGTTCTAGGTATTTAATGAACTCAATTTATACAATACAGCACAGTATTTCCCCTTGGTCAGAGGATCCTTTGGTGTTTTTCAGGTATGTTTAAAATAAGAAACTCTGACCTTTTTTTTGGAGGGGGAGGAGATGAGGGGTGGGAGGGCATGGCAGGGCTCAACTTTGTGGTTTGTGTATTGCTTGCTAAAATAAAAGGTTATTAATGTCCCTTTTAAAGCTTGGGGCTGTAGACAACAGTCTACAGTTTTCATGGTTTATATGGGTTTTGAATTGTAACTTATCAGCATGTTAATAATCTGAATACAATGATATATGATTATACTTTCATAATTATGGATTGTGTTACAGTGTCATCCCTTTTAAAATTTTTCTGTCATTACGGCAATATTCAGATTCAAATAACTGTGAGTTCTATTGGTTCCTGTGTATTACTTGTTTTAGGCTTATAATTACTCTAGAATTGTGACTTTATTTTCTTAAAAAGAAAGACAAGAAAAAAAAAATAGATGAGCACTGTTGATGTCCTGAATGTCCTGTATTGAGATAAACTGTATAAATTTTATCCAGAAATGCAGCCTTTGGGTATCAACTGATGCAATTCTTGAGGAGGATAAAGAACATTTTCTTTGTAAGTAATAAAAATAAATGTAGCCAAATCTAATTTACTGAGTGGGGAAGGAGATTTGTGGGTTAGGGCCCCTCTTAAGTCTTCTCACTGTAGTATACATAAAGGAACTTCCAACCTTGCAAAAGAGAACTGTTTTTAAGGTTCAAAACGAGCAAAACTCCTGTCGGTACTATTTTGAGAACTTCACTTTTGCTGCTGTCCTGAGTGACCATACTCACTAAGGGACTGAAAATCAATGAATGATATTTTCTTTGCAATTTCAGATGCAGTTTCATAGCAGTGGTTTGTCACTTTGTTGTATGACACTATATTATACCAGTTCTAGAAGCAGTCTGGAAAGGCTATGTAAAATCTTAATGTTCTTCTGAAATTTCATTTACTTAGGACAAGAAATTAACAATCAAAAACCCTAAGAAAAAAAGAATTATGCAAAGTTTCTGATGTCGTGGAGTAGTGTTAACATATGTAACAATGCTGTAGATTATACTGAAAACACTCTATTAATTTGATTTTTCTTAAACGTAGACATTTGTAGGTAGGACAATAATTTTTGTTTTGTAGATGATGCAATGATACCCATAGAGGATGGCTTTGGTGATGATCTGCCAGTAGCTAGAGATGGACCTCTGGATTTCAGCACTCCATATGTGAGGACACATTTTCCAGAGACTTGGCTTTGGATCGATACCAAAACTAGGTATGAAATTAAAAGGAAATTGAAACTGATTTGCTGTTTTTATTTTTTTTTTGTTTTAGTATTATTCTGTGTACTGAAAAACAGTGTTTAAAAATGTGGTATTATTTATATTCTGCTACCACCTAGAGGCCACAAGTGAGGTTGGAGGCCCACCAAATGAGGCATTTTACAACTGCACAAAGCATAGCAATCCCTGACTCAGTGCTTTTCAGTTTCAATAGAAACAAAATAAAACCCTAGAGACAAAGTCTTCCAGGACAGGAAACTATCTTCCTTTTACAGATGGAGAACTGACTTGCAGAGAGACTTGGTGTTTTTCTATTAAGTACATAGAATCACAGAATCACCAAGGCTGGAAAAGACGTTCAAGATCATCCAGTCCAACCATCCATCTATCACCAATAGTACTCACTAAACCATGTCCCTCAACACAAAATCCAACCGTTCCTTGAACACCTCCAGGGTCGATGACTTCACCACCTCCCTGGGCAGCCCATTCCAGTGCTTGACCACTCTTTCAGAAAAGCAGTATTTCCTAACGTCCAGCCTAAATCTCCCCTGGCACAGCTTGAAGCCATTCCCTCTAGTCCTATCACTAGTTACACAAGGGAAGAGGCCGACCCCCAGCTCACTACAACCTCTCTTCAGGTAGTTATAGAGAGCAATAAGGTCTCCCTGAGCATCCTCTTCTCCAGACTGAACAATCCCAGCTCCTTCAGCCGCTCCTCATAAGGCCTGTGCTCCAGACCCCTCACCAGCTTTGTTGCCCTTCTTTGAACACACTCCAGGGCCACAATGTCTTTCTTGCAGTGAAGGGCCCAAAACTGGACACAGTACTCAAGGTGCAGCCTCACCAGAGCTGAGTACAGGGATAAGATTTTGATCCTGATGCTAAAATCTGTTCTCGTCTGCACCTAATTCAAGAAGCATTTCAAACTGTTAAACAAATAGTGAAATCTGACCTGTGTTGTGAGGCACAAATCTTGTATTCTTTCACAGCTAAGAAGTTAGGGAAACAGACTTCATTGGAGATTATTTTACAGGATTTGCGAAAGTTGATTAAGTGTAATTACCTTCAACTTATGTAATTCAAAATAATTTAATAATTTGTTCTAATCATTTTGATCCCATCACAAATATTTCTAAATGATTAAGAAGAGGAAAACAGATAACCAACAGTTTTTCCTGCCAAGAGTTTGAACTTCATTTTTGATGTATTATTAACATACATATTTACTTACTCATGTCCATAAATAGATGCTTTTGAAAGTCATCTATGTCCTTTTGCTGTCAGATCTGATGCAGATACCACAATGGAAGTCACTGTACCTGATACCATCACGTCCTGGATAGCCAGTGCTTTTGTGCTTTCTGAAAATGGTGGTCTTGGAGTGACAACTGTTCCAGCAGAGGTAGCACATCGCTTGATGTTTCTCCTTTAAATACTGATAACATTGTAGATTATTAATTGGAACCTGCATTTTACTTCTAATAACAGCCTTCTCCTTATATCAATGAAGTAATTTCATGCGTATTCAAACTGTTAGGAAAACATTACAGTGAAATCCTATGTGGACATGGAGGTTGGGCACCAGGATGGTGGTTTTGCTGCCAAGTTTCTGTCTCCCATGGCTCTTTTAAGAATTTAGCAATTTAAAATAAATTCTGCACTTGTCAGTTTAGACCTACAACTTGAAATTTCCAGAATAGACATGCAGTTGTCCTAGGCTCACTCTATATTTGTGGAAACAGCTTCTTAGAGAATGCTATTTGGATTGTTTAAAATAAGAATTACTTTCTGAAGTGTCGTTGTAGTTATCTTTTCATGCATTATGTAAAAAGTCCTAGAAAAACTACGTTCCTAACTTGAACATCTCCACTTCAAGTGCCAAAGGTTAGAAAGGTTGAAAGTGTGCAGTACTAGGTCATAGATTTCCAAGTGGATGCCTGCACTAATTGGAATTTAACTTGGAGATAACTCTTTACCCACTGAAATTCTCATCCCTCCAAATTCTTGTGGAGGAGTATCTTTCAGGATGTAAGCCCAGATACAGATTCAGATTTGTAGTTGGCTGATATACCAGATACAAACCATATGCTTTGAACATCCTGGTCAAAACACCACAAAATTTGGAAACAGATCTGTATTTTGTGGCTGAGAGTCCTTAGAGACTGTAATCATGATTCTTGTTTCTTCCACTTAGCTTGGCAGAGAAGGGACGGAAAGAGGAATCGTTTTCTGATTCGAACTATATGAAAATATATACTTGGTCCCTTGCTCTCAAATATGAGAAAGCTACAAGTAAAACAGATGTTGAGCTTATTCCTAAACTATAATCGCCAACATACACTGCTCAGTGCTTCACCCTCATTGGGATGTTTAGATTGTGCTTGGAGTTCCATATGGCTGAAACATGTTAATCAGTACCATACAAAGAGACAAATAAAAGAAATGCACAAAAACTGTGATGGAGAAATAAATAAGTGATATCTGCATGTTTAGTGTCATTTACTGCTTTGCATCTTGTTTTTCCATGTCTTTTTGTACACAAAGTACTGATAATTTCACCTCGTGTTTTTTTTTAAGATACTGAAATATTTCTGATTGTTAAAATTCAGTATTGCAGGAGGTTAAGAGGGAAAAAAAAAAATCAAAGGAAATAGGCATCCAGTGAAAACTTTGAGTAAGAACTAACAAAAAATTATCCATTAAAACTTTTCTAATGATAAAAGACATTTTTTTTTTTATCAGTGCAAGCTTTAGTAAACAACTTAAAATATTTTTTGGATATTTGTTGGCTAGAAAGAAATCTGAAGATTTTCTGGATCTGGAACTGAAAATACTTAGAAGAATTTTTTAATGAAAACTGAATTAAAGCCATTTTTAGTTGACATTTCTCTAATAATAGATATCATGCTTCAGTCATTCTTAATGTGCAGATGTTCATAAATGGTGAAATCCCACTGAGCTTGATGTGAGCTTACCACTGCCTTCCTAGAGCCAAGACTTGGTCCAAAAATCTCTGTTAACAGATAAAATAATCACTTTCTGACAGATTCCTGCAAGTTTTTTCTGTTTTAATTAAGGAAAGATGTACTATTAGAAGTATAACGAAAGACTTAGGCCAAGATTAACCTCACAAAATAACATATCATACTTATGTGCTGGTGAATTACAGAATTAGGGAAAGTTAGTTATTTTGGATTCCAACACACATGACTGTATTGACATGGATGTAGGTCAGTGGACAGATTCAGAATCCTCTTTTACTTGTGTGCTCAAAATAGTTCATAGTAGCTTTAATGGTATCTCTAGACAGACCGCAGCTTTCCAACTTGCGGGATGATAGTTTCTTAGTCCCAGTTCATCTTCTCCTGTCAGAATTTGCCATGTTGAAGCTGCCAGTAGTCCAGCAGTTTTCATCTTAGTGGCATTACAGAGTTCCAACAAAGGTGCTTGTATGCAGGAGGGATCCTTGGCTTCTGATTCAGCCCTGTAGTAATACTTTTTGTTAGTTGTAGAGTAATGTAGTTGAGTATAGTTGAGTTGAGTGTCCTAGAGTATGAGTGCGAGTAATGATACTCTCATAAGATTTAAAAGTGAGAGTCTAATCAGGAGACATGCTGTGTAATAATTTTCTCACTAGTATCTGATTGTAGGGATTCACTGTTTTGTGCCGATCTTGTTTTGCAGCTAGAAGCTTTTCAGCCTTTCTTCGTTTTCCTGAACCTTCCATACTCTGTCATCAGAGGAGAGCAGTTCATTTTGGAAGTGAATATCTTTAATTATTTGAAAGAAGAAGCAGAGGTAAAGTAACAGTCTCTCTGTTCTCTGTACTTGAATATTAGCAGACACTGAAGGGAGTGCATTACTGATGAAAATCATAACTTTCTTTTGTGAGATCTTCAGTGAGCGTATTGTAAAGCTATATCTTTATATACAGCTTAAAAAGGCAGCTTGAATTTTCTTCAAAATTTACATGTTATTGCAAATATTACTGTATTTTACAGGTTAGTGTGATCCTGGATATGAATGATGCTTTTGAAGTTATTCTAACATCCAATGAAATAAATGCTACAGGAAATCAACAGTCTATATTTGTACCAAGTGAAGATGGAAAAACTGTTCAATTTCCAATCAAACCAAAACAGCTGGGAGAGATTCCCATTAAAGTGACAGCGATATCATCTGCTGCTTCTGACGCTATCATGCAAAAAGTTTTAGTAAAGGTAAACAGTCTGCAGCTTGGCTTGTTCTACAAATAAATTGCTCTGTAAAATAGACAATGGACTATTGCAAAGAGGCAAACCAGTATACTTGTCTGCTTCTCATTTTCTCAGATTGGTTTCAGGTCAGATGGCTTGAAGTTGAAAGCACTTTTAAAATAAATTCTTTAGATCTCCTTCCAGAATTGAAAATATAGATCCGTTCTATAGCTGATCATGTGTCAAATGCTTCTGAAAGTGAGGCAAAACCTGTTTTTGCATCAATGAATTAATGGTACTACAGTTAGCTTAACAATCTAGGATGGTAAAGTGGACCATGTAACTATTATGGATAAATGCAATGAATTTCTTAGTGTACCTAGCTTAGTTCAAAGCCTACTTTTATGAACATTTCTCTATTGTGTTAGTGATGAAAGTTTAGCCCCCAGACTTTCTTGATGAACTAGAGGCTTTTGGATGAGATTTGTCTATCTTTTGACATCTAACAGTTTGAGTCATGTTGAGCACCATTTCAGTGAAAGGTGATATGCACTTTTACATCTCATCCTAAAATAGTTACTTAAGATCCTAGAATCAGGAAATAGTTGAATTTAGAAGGGACTTCTGGATATTGTGTAATCCAATTTTCCTGGTCAGAGGAGGATCAACTACAGCAGAGTGCTGAGGACTCTGTCCAGTCAGGTTTTGAATGTATTCAAGGAGGGAGACTTCTCAGCCTGTGTGGGCAATTTGCCTCACCTGGACCCAGTACTCCAGTGGTCTCATCACAGCTGAGTAGGGGAGAAGGATCATCTTCTTCAACCTGCTGTCCAGGCTTTACATGATGTATCATGGATACAGGATAAAGTTGGATGCCCTTGCTGCAAGGTCCCTTTTTTGGCTTATGCTCAAGCTGGTGTCCAACAGCTCTCTCAGGTCCTTTTCTGAAAAGCTGCTTTCCAGCTGGGCAGATCTTAGCATGTAGAGGTACATGGGGTTGTTCCTCCGCAGGTACAGGACTTGTCATTTCCTTGTGCTGACCTTCATAGAAAGAATCATAGAACCTGCTCCAGTGCTTCACTACCCCGAGTGAAGAATTTCTTCCTAATATTTAACTTAAATTTCACCTCTTTTAGTTTAAAGCCATTCCTCCTTTTCCTATCACAATTGAACCATGTAAAAAATGGGTCCCTCTCCTGCTTGTAAGCTCCCTTCATCTATGCATGTGTTTTCAGATTTCATAGATTTTTCTTTCTGCCAATTTCTTACCCATTGTTTAGGATCTCCATACTAATAGCACATTTCTCAAGGATGACAGGTTAATTGAATTATGCTCTAAAGGTGCTGATTTACCTCTCTTATGAGACAGGATCATAAAATTGCACTACCTCAGAATACGATAAACATATAAAGTAAGTGATGGGAATTTCAGCACGGCTGTTTGTAAAACCTTAAGGCTGAAAGTTAAGGTTCTTCTGTATCTATACTTACCCACAACTGAGCCTTGTCCATCGTGAGGAGCAAGCTCTGGCCAGCTGGATTCTGCTAAGTGGGTCTTTTCCTTTTTGTTTTGAGGGCCCATTTTTGGACCCACTAGAAAGCTTTTCTTTTATAGCATAGCCTTTTTGTTGGACATCTCAAAATCACTGTCCTGCAAGTTAATTCTGGAAGGAGCCACTTTGTTGTATTGTCGTAATATGCGCAACAACACCACTTATTGCCCTTTTTATTGAAACTCAGTTGTGCTGAAGAGAACAAAATCCTGTTGGATTAAATCTAGGCAGAAAAGAGAAATCCATTCATTTTCTCTACTTTGAAGACATTTTTTCTCTCCAAGAGACTTGCATGCATGAATGAACGGAACCTTTGAACCTACAGTGATGAACTTAACTGGCGTATGTCCTCTTTGTATGACAGGCTGTAGGATTGCAAACAGCATGAAAGAGAGCACTTCTGGCCTTGGCGTATACTTGATCATGAAGCTCTGTGCTTATCATTGAGCTCACTAGAATCAAAGATGCTTTCAATGACTTTGTGTGTATTTTTATAATTAACACACGGTTGCTAGAAGCAAATAGTGGAAGCAGGTCTTTATTATAAAAACAGCTGTGTTTCAGTTCAGATAGGCCAATTTCTCAGGTTCTTGATGTGTTAAGAAGCAGAACAAAATATCTCACAGAGTTTTAGATGCATCAACATAGTAAGCGTGTAGTTCCAGTTCTAAAAGCAACAACATATTGGAAATTATAACAATCCTCTGTTTATTTTGGTAGGCTGAAGGATTGGAACAAGCATATTCTCAGACACTCCTTTTGGATTTAACTGGGAGTAAACAACAAGCAGTGACAAAAACTTTGGATTTCACTTTTCCTTCTGATGTTGTAAGTGGTAGTGAAAGAGTGCAGGTCACTGCTATAGGTAAGAATTATTTTGTTCTGTTTCCATCTCTGCTACTGGTCAGTTGTTTTTTGTTGTTTTAAGTATAGTTTGCTGTCTGCTGGGCTTTTTCTGAACTCTGTTAGTATCTAAGATGTAGCATGAAGATACAGCACGCCACTGCTTTTGGAAGTTGAGAGTACCTGTATTCCACGTGGATGTGAAAGGATTGGTCTCCATTAGCAGTTTGACATCTGTGATGTCCTGTTGCAAGTGGTCACCACATTTAACATAATCCAGTTGCTGGTTTCTTCTGCACTGCATAGGTGCAAATAGTAACTGGAAGCAGTAGGCTGTCAAGTAGAGCAGGGATGTTGGTATAATATCCTGAACTACTGTAACAGGGTTTGTCAGAACTTCTCTACTGAAAGGCCTTTCCAAGATCTTGCCCTGGATGGCTGTTGCTTCATAGGTTTTTAGGAAACTAGTAATTTAATTTAATCCCTATGTTAATGGCATGAATCATTAGTTAATAATAATTTCTCATCCATTGAACTGATCGTATGATGATTGTATGGATGGATTACATTATTTATTTATTTGCAATATTGTGGTATTTAGTATTTTCAGAGTTAAAGAGACTGTCAGGAATTTGCAGGAAAGTCCTGCAAAGTTGGCTAATATTCTGTTTAAATTCTGCTTGCCTGAAGAATAAAGCCTAAAACTTGACTCATAGCTGGTCCTAGGCTTTGATAACTCTGTGTGAGAGGAGAAATACAGGAAATTTGAAATATGAACAGTTGCTGAAACATTCTCCTAGAGGGAATATCTTTTGTCTTTTTCATATGGCGTCTCTTTTAATTGTCATGTAGTTAGGAAGGTCAGTAAAGTTCTATGAGGAGATTGGTCAGTGAGCAAAAAAGTTGATAATAAAACTGTGTATGATTAATGCAGTTTTTTGTCTGGCTACTGGTGTTGAGCACAAGTATTCCCAATGAATTAAATTTTTTCATAGTTTAGCTGATACCGTCCTTTATGTGTTAGATATGTGTTTATTTGTATTAAGTTTTAATTTTATCTTCCAGGTGATTTACTTGGACCTTCCATCAATGGCTTGTCATCATTGATTAAGATGCCTTATGGCTGTGGTGAACAGAATATGATCAATTTTGCTCCGAATGTTTATATTTTGCAATACCTTACTAAAACGAGACAGCTCAGAGAGGATATTCAATCAAAAGCTTTATCATTTATGAGAAAAGGTATGTATGCTTAAAGGACATTTTACGTATTCGAGAACTCTTCCTAGCTTGAGGTACCTGTGACTTTGTACTTGGTATTTGAAAGACTACTTTGCTGGTGTCATGCAACCTGGAAATAAACTCATTTTTCTCTTTCTTCTGGGATAACAGAATTGAGGAGCAGACAATTCTGTTTACAAGGAAAATTTGCTCCAAAATATATTTTGTTTCTATGTAGGTATTTTTCAGAGGAAAACTGCATTTTAGAAGGTGATTTTTGTGCTTTGTTGTTGTTGTTATTGATAGTTGCTAGGTTTTCTTTGCTTAAACTGTGTATGAGCAAACATTGCTGTATGTGAGGTACAGTGCATCAAAATTAGCAGGCACATCCTCATCCTGCCATGTCCTTGCAGAACTCTAGGAATTATGTTCTTGTGATTCATGTTTGCCCACCCCAGTTTTAGACTTGATCAGAAGTGAATTCTGTGCTGGACATTGGAAAGTGGAATATTTTAATGGAAAATGGTTGTATATTTTCATCTGAAAATACTCCAGTGCATCACGAAGTGTGGAGAACATTGTGCTTCCTTGTGCCTACTGGGTCAGACAGTATCCATGATGTACTACTTATCCTTAGTTTGAGCTGAACTTTCATAAAATCAGTTTTCAAAAGGATTATAATGAAGGTGAATTTAAAACATAATTTATTTCACATGTCAAAAAACACTAAATATCTGAAACACTGACCACATAATCTGAAGTAAATATAATTAATTTAAAAGCTAAATGTTAGTGGGAAGAAGGAACCATGGCTAGCACTGGTTGCTTTCCTTCTATCAGATTTTGTTTACCTAGAACAAAGACAGAACAAAAGAAAAGTTGAATTTAAAATAAATTCCTTCAGTTCTCAAAATGACAGATCTCATCTTGATATCACTTCTTCAGAAATAAAAAGTCCTTTTTGTCCTGAAAGCTTAGGTGCTAGACCCAGGCAAGCACTGAGTTGGAGCAGTATTTTCAAGCTGTTCGAAACATGAGGCCTTTAAGTCTTTCACATATTACTGAACTCCTTTCCATCCTGATGTACTCTTCTTTTAGCTTGGCTTAGCTAACCTACATCTTCTGGGTTTCAGCCAGTCCTCTGGAAGTACTAGCGTACATCTTCGTAATAGGATCCTTCTTTTCCTTGCCTTTCCAGTTGTATGTGTTGACATTTAAAGTATTGTTTTTCACATCTGATTGAGTGTCCATTGGAATGAATGCAGTGGTTCACAGCCCTCAGATCTATTGTTTCAACATTTCTACAGACCTTCTTGTGTTAGATATGCTCGTGTTTGAAGATTTTTTTTGCGTGACTGCATAGAGCTTGACACTAAGAGGAAAGCAAAAAGACTATAGGAAATAGAGGAACCTCCATCTGGTTCTGCTCATCTTTCCAATCTTTCCAATCCTAATAAATTCAGAGATAATTTTTTTTCTTGTGTTATGCCTTCTCAGCAGTCTTTGTTAAGTAAGCTGTTGGTCTTAGTTCATTATTTTACACTACCATTGGAGTAGTGGCTATAATCCTTATTACTGCATATTGCCTGTTCAGTGAAGAAGCAGAAGATCTCAGCTTTGGGCCTTGCAGTCAGGTGTTTTTGAAGAGGAAGTGATCTGTTTGTATATGTACGTATAATTATGCTCCTCGTGGCATATTGTTTTGAGCCTAAAACTTTGACAGCAAGTTTTGCCACTTAATTGCTTTCTTTCTCTCACTCAAGTTTGCTTTTCAAGATCATTAACTGAGTTGACAGATCCATCAGTATGGGAAGGCATCACAAATTTTAATTATTTAGTTAACCACTGTTGTTCTGCTAAATACATTTAGAAAACCTGTTTAAGTGGAAGTTGTAATTTCAAACAGTTTTAAGGAGACAATAACTAAACTTGATACTACTGTACTGGTAAAACGTAGCAGTTCAGATTCATAGAATCATTGGGTTTTGTGTATTTTTATAGATTTGAGAGATATTTTATTCAGGTTCTACTCTTCACATCCTTAGAAAGTGCCATGCTTCATGTCAGTAGGAAGTTTATACTGGAACCCACAAAAGAGGAATGTGTTCAATACCTATCTCTGCTCTTTCACTCCAGGATATCAAAGAGAGCTGCTTTTCCAGAGGGATGATGGCTCTTTTAGTGCCTTTGGAAATGAAGATCCCTCTGGGAGCACGTGGTAAGTAGTTCTGCCAGATTCACTTTGGAATTTGACTGTTTTAGATACTTCCCAAGACTAGATTTTTTCTGTGAAGCTGCTAAAATTTTCCAGCTGTATTAGCCTTCTGTCTGGTTTTCATTAGGTGTTTAGGCCAACTCTAAGGTCGTTCTGCTGGATACCTTGCTGTCAAGGCCAATATTAGGGCAGGTCTTTTTAATTTTACAAAAGATGAACAATGAATTATTTTACCCATGGGAATAGCTGAATGAAATGCTTTGAGATGTTCTGCTGGAGAGGGTAGCTTACCAGCATGGAGGAAACTTAAAACCCCTTTGGAAAAAAGAAAAGCTAGTTAAGGCTACTCAGAGTTTGGTTTCTTGTCACAACAACAAAGGTGAAACATTGTTAACTGTATAAAAGCAGAATGTCAAGTAAGCATTTGTTTAAATCACTATTGCAATCTCTGCAAACCAGAACTCTTGAGTGGTGGAAACACACTCCAGTTTTACTCTCGGGTGCATCCTATTTGTGCATATATTGAGAAAGTGCCCTGGTATATTCCTGGGCCTGGGAGTGTAAACCACGCTGCAGCTTAAATATCAGCATAGTCTTTGGTAGCCTTCTGACCCTGACACTCTCTTGACACCTTCTAGGTTATCTCTGCATGTTGTTTGGGAAGAACCCTGATTTAGAAAGTTGTTCACTGGTGTAGGTGCTAGCTGATTGGTGGTAGATGTCTTCAGACCAGGTTGTCTGTCCCTTCCAACCTAAGCCATTCTATGATTCTATGAAGTAAATTCTAGGCACATTTGACCTACCAATATAGATGTGTTGAATATGTCCAACTGCTCTAAGGTTTTTGAGTAATAGAACAGCTTAAGAACCAGTATTTAAGTGCCATAGATGCACTTTTAGTTCTCTAGTAATTTATCAGGAATTGAGATCACTTAAAGTGTTATATACTGAAATGCGACTCCACAGAGAACAGACAGCTTTGTCTGAAAGTTTCTCAAAGGAAGAATAACATTAATTACATTGCTTATAATTGCGGTTGAAACAATTTAGGGCTTAGTGGTCACTATTGCCTCAAATAGATTTTCCCTTTTCTCTGGTCTGGATACTGAGGACTCTCTGAGGAATTCTCTATGAGGTGATTAGAGCTACTGATGGTAAAAAAAAAAATGAAATAAAATAAAAAATAAAAAAAAATGTCCCACTTGCATCTTCTACACCTTGTTTTTGAGACTGTAAATTCAGTGTAGAATTCCACCTTAAGAAACATAGTAAACATAATTGTGGAAGCTAGAAAGATAAACAGATACAAGTTCCAGCACTTTGTTTAGCTAATCTACATTTGATTAGTTTACATGTGTGTTCGTGCTTCAGCATGTTACCAGCTTCAAATAAAACTGTTCCAATTACTCTTTCACTTACTTGCTCCATTCTTCTGGGGTGAGTGAGCACCCTTCACCAGTTTCAGTGGGATTTCTATTAGATGCAGTACAGATGGAGTGGGAAATGAAGATAATTTATCTTTATTAGCAACCCCGCTAGATATATAGTGCAGAAGCAAGTTACCTAAATGCACATTTAGCAAAGAAAGAAGTTAAAGTAGAACTTCAGATTATTAATGAATAAACCAAGTGTTTTTTCGATGATGTCATTAGAGGGATAATTGTGATAACTACAGTCACACTTATAGTTTGCAGTATTGCAGTTATGATTTTGCCACTTAGCTTAGCAACAGAAGGCAAGAGAGCAATATTTGAATAAAGTTAAACAAATACTGGCAGAGACTTGGATAAATAAAGACAAACAAAGACTTGGAGCATATATAGTCTGTACTTATTTTTGAAACGTAACAGCTGCAAAAGGAATTATCTTTAGGAACAAGGAAATAGCTTCATTTTTTTGTGGATTAAGCTTAGTCTCCTTTCTTGTCTGGATAAAGCATGTATTTTCCTCTGTGCTTGGAAGCTGTGTGTTGAGTATTTTATGCATCATCATATTCTTATATTATGCAAAACAGAAGCTAATTTTGTCGTATTTCATTAACGTTTTCCTCCAGGTTATCAGCTTTTGTATTAAGATGTTTTTTTCAAGCTCGTCCATTCATAGATATTGACCAAGATGTACTCATGGATACAGCTAAATGGATTGTTGGACATCAGAAATCAAATGGAGAATTTCAGGAACCTGGCAAAGTGTTACATAGTGACCTTCAAGGAGGCACCAATAATCCAGTCGCCCTCACAGCATATATCATGTCTTCCCTCCTTGGGTTCCAAGATAAAGAGGTATTGGAATTCATAAATAGAATTTACAGTTTGGAATACTTCATAAATTCTCATACTACCTGGCAAACACCTGGTAGTTTAAAGAAATAGAAGAATATCCTGAATAGAGACAAAATGTAACCTTATTTGTTAAAATTTCCCTGTATTTTGGTTTACTAATTAAGACAGTATGTGTTGTGAGGCCATCCATTTTTGCATACCTTTGAAAAATCTAAAGGCAATTGCTTTTAGCAAGAATATTGTCATGCCTTCAGTCCAGGAACATAAAAAGGAATTTATGGGGGGAACTATCCTTAGAGGCATTCAGTCATTCAGTCAGTTTTCTTGAGATTTCTAACATTCATAAAGGACAGTGCAAGGTTAAAAGCTTTGCCTCTGAGGTTTGTGTCTGTGATTCTGAGATTTTCAGTACTTATTGGTTGTTGTTTGAAGATAGTAGTTTCTATTTCTTTACAAGCTTTTCTTTTACATTATAATGATGTATATTCAGTGTATGATCTTTGTTTTCAGCATGCTTATATCATTAAGAGAGCTACAAACTTTCTGGAAGATAAATTAAAAGAAGGCATTTCGGATAATTATACATTAGCACTTGTGACGTATGCTTTGTCGTGGGCAAAAAGTACAAAAGCAAAGGAAGCCTTGAGTATGCTGAATGAGAGAGCAGAACGACAAGGTATTGCACAACAGACTTCTATGGTTGTACAGATGGATTTTTTTTCAATTTTTATATATAATATATATATACTTAGTGAAAAAGATAATCCTTCTTCAAAATTAAAATATGTTCACAGCTTGCTAGATAAAATAGCTTAGGATCTTCAAATAAACCTTTAAGTCATAGCAAAGCTAAGCCTTTCTGTTTTAATTTCTGTGTTCTTGATGGGAGAACGATGATACTATCAAAGATCATGACTTGTCATTTCTTCCATGTTATGTGCACTTGTAAGGTTAGTCTAATTAGACAGTTGAAGTTAACTATTTCAGAGTGGTTCTGATTGATCAGGAAGCTTCCAGGAGCAGGGGTGGGGGATGGTTGGTTGAAATAAGTATTGGAATGAAGAGACGAATGACATCTTGTGAGCTGATACAGAAGTGTATTGTATTTTCTGTAGTGACCAATAATCTCATCATATTTAGCCTCTTCCACGTTCAATATATATTATAAAATATAAATCTATATTATATAATATATATCTATATAATTATATAGATATATATTTATAAAATATATAGATATATTTTGTTTTCTATTTTGAAGAGCAGACTATATAATAGTAATCAAAGATATCAAAGTTGTCTTGAAAAAACGAAAGGATTTCATGTTGGAGACTGGAAACAGAGCATCTTAAGTGTCCTCCTTTCATGTTTTCTGAGTTAGGCTTTTCAGAAGGGAGGATTTGCACTTTGTTCAAGAACAAACCTGTTGGGCAGCTATAATGCCTGAAGTTCCTTCTCTAGTGAGCATCCCAGCAACGAGATGGCTTTTCTACAAGGGCTCATTGACCTGTGCACTTCATATTGACAATGGAAGGGTCATATGAAGTTATGTATAAAGTATAAAGTTAATTGAATTTAATTGGAGTTGACTATCTGGACTCCAGCTTTATTTATAACTATATTGAAAAAGTGCTGAGGAAGTACCTAAGACATTTACTGGGCATGCACCTAAACATTCACTTAATTTTAAAGAGCATTGCTAGATCCCTTATATAAGCATAAATTAAGTCTTAAATAAGACTTTTCTAGAAGTCCAAAGACTTCAGTCTGTGGATCTGAGATTATTTTGGTTTATTTTTCAGGAGAATTTCGTTTCTGGATAACACCTGCTTCTGAAATTTCTGATTCCTGGCAGCCACGATCCATTGATATTGAACTTGCAGCATATGCTCTGCTCTCACACTTTCATCAGGACAGGCTGGAGGAAGGGATTCCTATTATGAAATGGTTAAGTCAGCAAAGAAATCATCTTGGAGGATTTTCATCTACACAGGTAATATCTCAAGAGGCTTTGTTGTACTTTCAGAATGAGAATTATCTCCCCCCAAAAAGCCCAAACATTTGTTTTAAAATAGTGATTGCTGAGTTTTATTTTGCTGTATCAGCCTCGGTTGTGTGCATGTTTGCACTCTTTGCAGGACTGGCATCTTAAATGTAGACTACCAATGTAATTAATGTTTAATAAAAAGCAAAAATAGAGAGTCGCCTTAATTACTTACAACACAAAAACCAAAAGATGCTAAGAAGATGCCCATGGAAAAGTAATCAGATTTTCCAAGCAAGTATGATAAATATCTGTGCTTATGTGGCTTCCAAGGAGAGAAACATCTTTCTATTCTTTCCATATGTGGGCTCTCGAATTCCTGAAAGGCTGTTAGCTAAGATAAGAAAGGGTTTTGGAGGAACAACCCATCTTAGTGCCTCTGTTGGCAACAGAATTTTGATGGACCGTGAAATTTGGAAGATTTCATTATCTCCAGGAGGTTTCCATGTTATTCAAGCCACATCTTGTAAGCTGTGCTAGCATCCAGAAAACTTAAATATTACTCTGGTTTGTGTTACTTTAAATTTTCTTTTAAATTAAGTACAAATGCTGGTCACAATAAAATGTCACTTATCTCTGTACTGCTCGGTACCATTCTATACAGACTATTCTTTCTTATTTTCATATGTTGTTATTAATATGAGAGAGAATAGTTCTGTTAAGTAAAATGTAATTCTTGGGAACCAGCCTGGTTCTAGTACTTTCCTAACATGTTAACTGATGCTTGTTATTTGAAGAGACTAATTGAAATGCTAAATTGTTGAAAAAGCTTTTCTCCTTGCTCTTAGAAATAATTTTTCCTTGAAAGTTTGAAATTGAAGTATTGTATAATTTAACGCTGAGGGAGAAATTAAAAGATGAATTTAATCCTTTTGTTTTTCTGTAATCTGAAGTATTTTCATTTCAAAATTACTCCACATATCTCTGTGGATGCCTTTTATTAATTTATGGAATTATCCCCCACTTTTTTTTTAGTATCTAGGATCATTTTAAAACAAACACTTCAAGAGTTTTCTTGCACGAGCTTATTACATTAGAAACTTAATATAAGGGCTGCTCCAAAAATAATGTCTCCTATTTTATTATGTTGGCCCATGATGTCAGAGGTAGATGTTGATGGTATGGCAGAAAATGTTGAACCTTTCCCACAGTATTCCAGTATATTTTGTTGCCAGGTGACATATGGCAGCAGAAGAGCAGTCTGACAAAATGCTGTCTGATGAGGAGTATGGAGGAAGCAAAGGTATATAACTGAATTCCTCCATGTGGAAAAAATGACACCCACTGACATTCATCAGCACTTGCTGAATTTTTATGGGACCAAAGAGTGGACGTGAGCACAGTGAGGCAATAGATAGTGTGTTTCATCAGTGGCAAAAGTGATGTGAAAGACAAGCCACATTCCAGATGGCCACGCACAACTGTCACAACGTAAAGGAAGATTGTCTTAATTAGGCTCATTTGTGCAAATTGGCTAATGGTTGTGACTATGTTAAAAAATAGTGTTTTGTTGGTGAGAATTTTTTTCTATCAAATAGTGTCATTGTGCTCTTTATCTCTATTGTAGTTTCTATAGAAATAAATAGGAGACGTTACTTTTGGAGCTACCTATGTATTGTGTGTATTTCATATACACAGAAATACAGTTCATACAACAAATAAAATCTATCTGAATGCATATTGAAATGGTAGAGAGGTGTAGCAATTGTTCAGCACCTTTGTTGTTGAACGCCCAGTTGAGGCCTATGTGTCTGGCCTGAGACCATATTTCCTAACTTTTTAGGTTGCATATTTGGTGTAACATTGTCATACTCTACCATATACTTCCATGTATCAGCTGTGAATGTTTTCTGATAAAAACCATTGTATATGCTTTCTGCTTTAGGGCATTATAAGGGATGCATTTATCTTCTGGTTCTTTGTCCTCTTGTTTTTTTACCTGCAATTATGACAGTTATTTGAGCCTTGGGTTTGGCAGAGCTCTTAAGTCACCTTCAACAATGATAGACAGCATTTCTAGGCATCTTGAATTCTGACAAAATTAATAACTACAAATGTAAATTTGACAAATGTAACTGTAAAGACTTGGAAAAGGCATGTCAAGGTATTCCTTGGTTTCTGCTTAGGTAATGACATGCATCTTTCTACTTTCAGATGTTTAAGATTGGATTTTCCAATAAGATATTCTAGTTCTTAAGGCCTTGTAGTAGATTAGATATGTAAGTCTGATGGGTTGCTGTAATTTCATTCACTCCAATATGAAAAAGTTTTGTAAGTTTGATCTTGGAAGACATATATTTTCAGCAGGAATCAACATATGAGTGTTCTAAGTAAAGACAGACTTGTTCAGATGTTCTGTCATTGTCTGCTGCAAAGGAGTAATCATTTGTAAGCATGAGAACAAGACATTCTTTTAGGCCAAATTTTGGCCTTCTACTGAAAAAGTCTTTCACTTCAAACTATTAGTTCTTGTAGCCCATTAGTTGTATCTCTTCTGTCATACTGTGTTAAACACTGGAGATAAGATCATAGCCATAGAGGTTCAATGTGCAAGCAACTGCTGATGTTTCTGGATTTTAAGAAATCAGAGAGGTAGATAATCTTGGTCAAGGATGTAGTATGGGAAGTAGAGCTGATTCTAATAATTAAGGAGTGGTTTCAGACCTATAACTTCAGTCATTAAGGAATCCTGAAAAATTGCTTTGATTGCTTAGTCACTATAAAAATCTAAAAAGTAGCAGAATCATTACTTTCTTCATCAGTTTTCTCCTTGCTGTCTGCATTGTTTGTCATTTTGACTATTGTAAATACCAGCGTGTTAAGTCCTCCACATAGCTTGCACAAAACTTCTTTCCCACGACTTTCCATCGTGTGTCATGGTTTCTAAATGGTTCCCCTGTGTTTTGTGTCTCCTCTGCTCTGGGATCCTTCACACCAGTGGAATCCCAATGGATGTGTTGATGCAGGTGTATGAAGACCATAGTGTAATCAACAAAAGGGGCAGTACAGAGACTGTGAGCTCTCACAGCATTGTCTATACACAAGTAGTTCATTATGCAGAGTTCTTCTGTTTAACACAGAAACATTTATTTCTTTCAACAGGACACTGTAGTGGCTCTGCAAGCCTTGAGCCTATTTGCAGCTCTTACCAGTGCACACAAAACAGAAATGGATGTAACAGTTACTGCAACTTCTTTGGAAATCCCAGAAATATTTTCAATTGACACTCAAAACCGTTTTCTGCTTCAAACCAAGGAGGTACTGTAGAAAGTGAGAAATACTTTTGTAAAGCCTGGTTCCTGAAAATGATCTGAAAATACTGTTTTGGCCATCTGTCCTTCTTCCAGATTCCCCCGGTGCAACCGATGACAGTTACAGTTTCAGCAGAGGGAAGAGGATTTGCTGTCTTTCAGGTATGCAACGTGGTTATGTTTTCTGAGGATATGCTCTCTAAAAAGAAGGAAGCTTTATAAAACATGTCAATAAGAACAACTTTCTGAAATATCTTAAACCAATGCCAAGGTACTTTATTGCTTGAAAAATGCTGTGAACCTAAGTTGTGTGGACATGCATATTAATGTGATTGTGTATGTTGGATGGCCAGACCCTTCAAATAATTTTGGAGGACTGACAGTTTTGGGGCACTTCATGGATCAGAGTCATATCAAAGTGACCCCATCTTTCTGCAGAATTGCAGTGTCAGTTTGCAAGGCAAAGAGCTGCAATGGTACATTGGCAGTCCCAAAGGTCACAATGGAAAAAAAGCATGTGGACCAGGCATAAATAGCTCATCAGGCATCTTTGATAAACAATGGAAGACACAGATCTGTAGACAGCATGAGTACATCAGTAGTTATTAGAGCATTGGTGTTTTCTTTTCTTTTATTGAAGTGTAATATAATAATAGCAGAAGAGCTAATGCAAAGAAAAATAAAAGAAAAAAATTTAAAAAGTATTATGGCCAGGTTTTCCAGCAATTTTTATGCTGTTCTAAAATAGCATAAGAGACAGAATCAAACGGTCTTGCATAGTTCCAACATTATTTGCTTAGTATTAACCAGACTGAGGACGTGACAAAGAGTATAGGAGGAAAGTCTAATGATCCTTTTTTTGCCAATTCTGCAGGAGGCTGTTTCAGTGGTTTAACTTCAAATATATTTATATTTTAAAAAGTAAGCTGGGGTCAGCACATACTGTACTTTAAATTAGCAAACTGTAAGCAGTCTTTTTATGCATTTCAGCTCCTTGCTCTTTCTACGTATTAAAAATTAAATTCCAATGAAACTATGCCTTCAAAATTTTCCCTATCCTAACGAGAAATAGTGTACAAGAAGAAGACAGTATTGGATCTGACTTTATATGACCACTACTGGATCTCCTTTTCCCACTCTCTGATCTGTGGTGGTCCACATGGGTGAAAGAGAAGACTTTTGATAAACTATGAATAATACAGAAATATTAGTCTCTGTTAAGCAGGAGAGAATCATTCTATAAAAGTATATAGATTAACTCACAGTTGCAGAGTCTATCACAAAACTGGGCACAGTTCTTACTGAACTCTTGATATTCATACTTGGGAAAACCAAATGTAGGCCACCTTTAAGAGTCTCAAAGTTTTGGTTAGTTTCCATCTCTAGTTCATTCCAATCCACCAAAAGCATGGTGACAATATTTAACATATTGTTAAATATGCTTTTGGATAAAATACCTTCATAAAGAAACCTTACTGACTGCCTATCAGTGATGAACAGCATTTCATGCTGCAAATATTGCTTATCCAGCACCATTATGCCAAGGCCACAGTGCTAGAAATCAGTATTCATGTTCATTAATTCCCAGAATTGCAAATGATGTTTTCAGCAGTGTTATCAGGATAACTTGTAGTTAACCCTGTGCTTAGAAGGCTCCTTAGGGAAGTATTGTACCATGGTTTAAGCTTGTGATTTGTTGTATGAGCCAACATGCTCCCAAATGCCTGGTATTCAGGAACCAGCACCAGGTTACCTACTTCACTGAGGCCACTGTGCTGTTGCCTTTTTTCCTTGGAGCTTTGAGTCTGAAATTCAAAATATACTTAGCATGCTGGAGTAGCTTCTCCAATAACTTTTCTTAGCTAGGACCGGTTCTTTCCTTCTGCTTCCTTTGGCAGGTCTGGTATTCTAGAACAAAGTGCATTAATGCCATTTGAATTAGATTTCTCTTTTTCCCAGACACAAGCTAGATCTGGGTCTCATTTAATAAATCAGATAGCATATGACATTGTGATCACATTTCTTCAGCTGGGTTTCATTGTCTCTGGTCTGCCAAACTACAGTGGTGAGATTCAGTGTTATAGGATTTGATTTTCTGGCCAAATGTAGCATGTCAAAACAGTAATTCATTTAAATATCACAAAAGACAAGATTCAGTCCATTAACGGAAAAGGCTGCTTTCCCAGTAAAATGGATTCTTAGGAAAAAAATAAAAGTGCTTTTTGGTGAAACCTCACTGTCTGTGTGTATGGGTCGGCAGTGCCTACACTCTTGACCCTGCAGGATCCTATAAAAATAGATCTTTTGAATATCACAGAATGGCCGGGGTTGGAAGGGACATCAAGGATCATCAAGCTCCAACACCCTGCCACATGCAGGGCCACAAACCTCCACATTTAATATTAAACCAGGTTGCCCAGGGCTCCATCCAGTCTGGCCTTGAACACTTCCAGAGATGGGGCATCCACAACCTCTCTGGGCAGCCTGTTCCAGCACCTCACCACTCTCTCTGTAAGAACTTTCCCCTGATGTCCAACCTAAATCTTTCCTTCCTCAACTTAAAACCATTTCCCCTTGTCCTGCTGTTATCTAGCCTTGTAAAGAGTTGACTCCCCTCCTGTTTGTAGGCTCCTTTTAGGTACAAAAGGCTGTAATGAAGTCACCCCACAGCCTTCTTTTCTCGAGGCTGAACAAGTCCAGCTCCCTTAGCCTGTCTGCCTCTGGGAATTCAGAAGTCAGACCACTGATTTCCTCTTGCAGACCTAAATAAAATAAGGCCACAGCATTCCCAGGAGCTAAGTAGAAGCTTCTCCCAAGATGCACTCTTGTTTATCAGCCCCCTGATCATCTTCGTGGCTCTCCTCTGGACCCTCTCCAACAGCCCTCTGTCCTTCTTGTACTGGGGGCTCCAGACCTGGACACAGTACTCCAGATGGGGCCTCACAAGAGCAGAGAAGAGGAGCACAATCACTTCCCTGTCCCTGCTGGCCACCCCTCTTCTGATGGAGCCCAGGATACCATTTGCTTTCCAAGCTGCAACAGTGTAACTGCAAAAGCAGACACTTGTAGTTTTGTGATCCTGCTGTCAAAAAAAGTCTCCTAGCTCATCCTTTCTTTTTGTCTAAATACAGTATAGATGTCCTAAGACACCTACTCTGTAGGGGAGATGATTGTAGGCCTAGAGTATATGCAAAGGTGTCCCCATAGAGAAAGGAGTCAACAAAGTGATTTTCACTAAGAGGTCTGCTGAAAGTCTTGAAAGTAGTCTCTTCACTACTGCGAACCACTGTGAACCGAGCTTGGCAGATGCCTCAAAAACATGGCATGTCCCATGCCCTCTGGAATGCCACTGAAATTGAGGACTAGCAACAATGGCAGAGCTGGCAGGCTTAAGGAAGATAGGTATGGGCAAAGTGAGCAAGATCTCCTTATCTCCTGGTGGTATACAGAAAAGACTCTGGAGAGGACCTTACCTTTACTTTGTGGCAGGAACAATTAGCAAGCATTGCTCCCCTTTCTTCTCTTTTTTGTACTCTTTGGAAAGAAACTGGACTTACGTGTATGGTGGCTAAACCAGCAGTTCTCATATGGCAGAGGAGGACATAAGTTACATTTCTGGTAGAGGAAGGGAATAAGAAAACTGAGAATCACCTGCTACTCATTACTGAGAAGCACTGACTGTTTCTTCCACTCACCGTATTTTTACTAGTCTTAGGCAAAGGATTCAGAGTAATTCAGTGTGAGAGTACCAAAAAAGATATGCAATGAACTATTCAGTCAAAAAGGGATAGTAAAATAATTGAAGACTATTTCATCGAATTCATGCTCTCAGTAAAGTTGATGCTGCTATTTGAAGAACAAAATGGAAAGGGAAAGAGACATTCATTAAGGTAAAATAAACGATTCAGATTTTTTGAAATCTAATGCTGTTCGTTGGATCACACACTATTACAAACACCTCGTTCAAGCAGATTAGCTTTAAAAATTTGTTTCTTGGGCCTCTCACCAGAACTGGTTGCAGTATGAGTGGGTCAGTTCTGCCTTTAGCTTTGTTAGCCCTTTTTAAAAAGGATTAAGATGAAATGCAGTTGCTTGTTTTGTTGACCTAATGCTGGGTTGCTGGATAAGAGCCTTCTATTCCCAAACTAACAGCATATAAAGAAGGAGGCTTTAATTAAGCTCTGTTGTGAAAAACATTTTCCCTTCATTGTCGTGAGAAGTCAGGAAAAGAAAGTTCAAATGTAACAGCAGTAATTTACTCCATGAAAAAGCAAGCTGATTGACCTGTTCAGTATGTTGTTTCAGACATCCTGCTTTGGCAGTAAATTCCCGTTCATTAACTTTTCATGGCGAAAGTTAAAACAGCTTTGTTTCTGTGATGACAGATCATAGTGGCGCTGCCAGCTTGTCTTACCAAATTTTCTGCATGCCGTTAACTGGCAAGCTTCTAGGCTGGCTTTATCCTTCGTATTGCCTTCTTTGCAGAGTGGTTGTGTAGCTAAATCTTTACTGTTGCACCTCTGTTCTGAGTGCTCATCCAGAGTTGTCTCAGTGCTCATACAGCATGATAAATTGAGGAATGCTGGGCAGGGTGACAGGAATTATATATGTACTGATTGAAAGACAGAGCATAACTTTCATATTAAGGAGAAATGTAGCAACAAAAGCAAAAATGATAAATTAAAAACTCATCAATTTGCACTGACTTGCTGTCCCGTAACTTGGACAACCCTCATCATACCTTTAAATTTGGACTGACAGTTTTTTTGCTGCCAGAAACAGTTCTAAAGGGACTATAATTTTCCAGAAGCCCTCTTCATTCCCTTTTCTTTATCTGAGCAAAGTTCATAACAGAGTCTTGCAGGGAGAATTATTTGAGTCATTCTTATTATTTTTGTACAAAAAACCACAGAAGGTTTCCCCTTGCCCTGCCATTTGTTTTATCTTGAGTGTTCAAGGCCAGATTGGACGGGGCCCTGGGCAGCCTGGTCTAGCATTAAATGAGGAAGTTGGTGGCCCTACATGTGGCAGGGGGGTTGGAGATTCATCACCCTTGAGGTCCCTTCCAACCCTGGTGATTCTGTGATTCTGTGATTCTATAACATTGAAAGTGTTCTGCTGGTTCCTCAGATCCAACTTCATGTTTCTGCTTTGGCTGTTGGCATTGTTAATTTTATAGAATGTTGAGATAATAAGCTATTCCCAGTTATACATATCTCCTTTAAGGGCTTCTGATTTTACTAGTCTTCTAGTATCGTTTCAAGCATCTTACACATCTCTACACTAAAAGAATTGGAATTTCTTTAAATTGTGCTTAATGGATAAGCCTACTTTTTATTAATTTTACTGTCCTCTGTTGGATATCCTGTCATTCTTACTTGGTTCACTTATCAGAGTTTGGCAGCTGCTGAGTAGAAAGGGTGAGAACTCTGTCCTCAAGGCAGATTGAGGACTGTAGTTTTGTCTTTGCAGAGATTAAAATACTTAGTGCATAAAGACTGTATTGTTTTGAGAGTGGAGTAATATGCTGTTCCTCATCTGGTTTGAGTGCATGAATGCTGTGACATGAAGACTGAAGACAAATTCTATGCACGTGCTGTGTATTTTCCTTTGCTCATTCATTTCCAGCCTTTTTAACCTAGTGGGTGTCAGTCTCTGAAGCTTGCCTTCATTCATCCCATTTCATACTGTCAGGAAGTAAAAGCAAACATTATAAACCAGCAGAGAGCAACTAGGAAGAAAGTTACCTAGAGTTTCCTTGTGTTTGCCTTATAATTGAATTGGTTGGGCTGCATTAAAAAATGTTCAGAAAACATCTTTCAGAAACTTCCTAGGAATGTCACATTTACAGATGTCAGGTACAAGGTCACGTATCCTGTCTTATGTGATCATGCCTCTGGAGTTCTACTGTTACTGTTCTAAAAATGTAGATTTGCTTTATACGTGTCCTCTAATGTCTCTCTTTGCAATCTGCAGCTCAATGTTATTTACAACACAAAACACACTGATCGAAGTCTCAGATCTGTCCAAAAACAAAAAGCTTTTGACTTGAATGTTGATGTAAAGGATGATAAAGACGATATGAACCATTTGACCTTAAATGTGTGCACAAGGTAGGTAATTCTGTTGGAGCATGTCATGTTACTTAAACTGAGGTGAATTTTCTTTTTGTTTGTATGAACTTACTAGTATATGGGAAATAAACATGCAGTTAAGGAGAGAGCAAAAGAATTACTTCACTGAAATGACAAAGTTAAACTAAGAAAAAATTCCTAAGTCAGTAAATACAGTGAGAGTTTGATGGGTCTGAATAGATCCCTCGTGCAGAATAATTTGTGGTCTGATCTTAGATGATTTTTTAGTGGCATGCGCAAGCATCATGCTTCCCTAAATGTCAGAGTTATAGGGAGGAGTTTGTGTGAAATACAAGTAAAGGCTCGAAAGCTTCTTTGGTGCAAGTACACCTTAGGTATATGGAAAACCACAGATAGACTTGAACACTGAACCTATATCTTCCACATTCTAGTACCAGACTATGAGAACTGCACTGTAATTTTCATCTTTCGTGAACAGAATGCTTTGCTTTTGATATAGAAGTAGATGCCTCCTTTTTGTAAAAGGAGAAACAAGTCTCTGAAGTGCTGAAAACATCATGAAATTGAAGTACTCATTCTTTATTCATCTCTATTAATAAACTTTATGTAATGATAAGTTCAACTGGATTTTTTGTCTTTGCAAGTATTTTTGTGGTCTTTCATTTACCCATGTACTGTATTTTGTGATTCTAGTAATATAGTATAATGTAAGCAACATTCTAGAGTTGAAAGAGGTTATGAGTTTTGTGTTCAAGCTAATTTTATTCTTTCTCCTAAGTAAGGGAGGGAGGTGGAGGTGGGGACATCTGTGATTATGTTTCTTGCTCTGAAAACATCTAGTAAGAACTGTGCAGAGATTGCTGGAATATCACCTCAAGACACATCTCAAGACAAAACAGCTGCTAGGTGTTACATTTGTAGCAAGATAGAGCTGAGAACAGGTAGTCATATTGCAAATTTCTAGGTCATTAAACAGGTTCTTTCTTTAAGAGCTTTGTTGTCTCATCTCTGTTTGTTTTGAAATTGTCTACATGTGTATCTAAACCAAATATATGAAAATGTTCTTACGCAGTTTCCTTAGTAGTCCTGTCTTATGTCCTATTTAACAGCACTGAGTATTTCACAAAAAACCTTTGGTATCTTGCTTTATATATGGATTTAGATTTTTTGTCTTCTTTCACCTATTATCTACTAGCATTTTGACATAAGTGCTCTCTTTGTATTGAAGGATCTCATCTCATCTGCTTTTTATCAGTACTACTTCTTGAAATCCTGTTTACTTCTTGGGATATTATAATGAGTTCCTTGTAGATGTGTTATTTGCAAAGTACTATCTGATCCACCATGTTCAGTCTTGCATTTCTTTCCTTTATATCCTCTTTTTATTATTTATTTAAATTGTGAATTCATTATGGCTAGAATATTTTTGCGGTCTGTGCAGGGTAGTTGTGACTGAAGATGAGGCCTCTAGGTGACACCATCATACAAATTATCAGCTATAGTGAATATGATGTCAGTGCAGAGATATCCAGCAGGCACAAAGCCAGATTTTGTTTTCATGTGTTTCCGGTAACCAATTCAGTGATGCAGATAGTGAGCAGGGACACTAGAATACACAAGAACTCTTGAAACAGTGAGCTTTTTCTCATTTAAAGCTTTCTGTGAAGTGTCAACAGCTTTTTAAAGTCTAGCACCAACTCCTGACATGTTAAGGGCTTACATAATGGCTCTGGGATAAACTTTGGCTGTGCATCCTGATTTTCTAGCTCAGTGATTTGACTCAGGAATATAGACGGGAAGGGATTCATCTCTCCGGGAAGGCTCTAGGCTGATGTCTTAATTGCAAAGTGTTCAAAGGATATGGGAACATCTAATGATGTAAACTTACTGCAAGAAAATACTTGGAATGTTAAGACCCATCAGCTCCGTCATGAAAAGTGGAACAGTATATTTTCTGTTTTTATTATTTGAGACTTGATCTCTGGTTGCTTGTCATTGATTCTCTTGTCATTTTCTTCCCTCCCAAACTCATGCATTGTATGGAGTATACATATTACTTATATTAATTCCTGAATTAGTTTACAGCTGGTCCATTTACTGTCTTTACAACGTGACCTGGCTTTTTGGTAGAAAACCAAAGCAGGTAAATACAAACACCGCTGAAATCTCAACAGATTGACCTATCTGTGGGTATGCAGAGTCAGGTAATGGAGGCTGTAGCTTGGCTGTGTTGTTTTCACTCTGACCTGCAGACTATTCTACCTAGTCTAAACCAGCTTTACAGTGATTGGCCATGGTCATCTCAATTGAGTGTCAATTCTGACACTGGATCAGATGATGTCTCATTTGTGGTTAGAGGAACTTGCTCTCTGTCTGGGAGGCACATTTGCAGGATTGCTGTTTTCTTCTCCAGTTGGTCTTATCATCTGCACACTATTTTCAGACATGCAATACTGATCATTGATGGTTCTATTCAGTTTATTCTTTCTGCTTTCTACTACACTAACTGGTGTTCTTTTCTCCTCTTATCACCTTTCAACACAAAATAATATCAGTTCTTCTAAGTTACAAGTTTCAAGTAGTTTTTAATTTCTCTTACTGGTCATTCTTCTCTTTTCATGGTATTTTTTTCCTTTTCTTTAATAATACCACTGAGTTCAAGAGGTAATACTGGGAGCCACCCTCAAAGCTGTGTCTCTTGTATTTTTTAGAGAGCTAGAACTAGAGACTTCATAACTTCTAGGGTGTATCTTACTTGGCAATAACATGCTGGTTATTTACTTGTTGGTATTTTGGTGGCACTCCAAGATACCTTAACAGGCTGGGTATTTTTGTCTCCTCTCATTGGTAGTTAAGCAGAAATAATGACATGCAGCTCCAATTCAGTTATTTGTTTTCAATAGCAGCTACTTTGGTGCAACCCATCATCCAACAGATGGTTTCATTTGTTTCTAATCTCATGAGCCAACTGAAGTCAGCAGTTGTGCTTTATTTCTTTCACAGTCATATCTGTGTTCAATCAGCCATGCTGCCAGGCTTAACAGCATTACTTTGAATGCAAGTCTTCCTTTTTTTCAAACCATCCAAATCTACAAAGAAATAGTTTTCTTCAATTACTTTCAACTAAAGTCAAGCCTTGAAAATGAGGGTTGGAGATGCTTTTATTCTAGTATAGCAAAAGTCATTTACATGCCAAGGGGGGAGAGGGAATTCTTCTATCACCTACTTAATTTAAAAAAACCACAATATTTTGCAGGTCACTTTAGTGTCACTTGTTACACAGGGCACCGTAAATATATTTTGGTAGTTCTGCTGTGCACCATGGTTTATAAACAAGGCCTGCTCACTAGAGCAATGCTTTTAAGTTCAGGTTGGAAGAAAATATAAGAAGCAGCATTGTTTAGGATAAACGAAGGAACTCAACTTATTAAATTTTATTTTTCCAAAACTGAATTAATAACATGGATTTGCATTCTAAATCTGAATCTTTGAGAAACAATGTGATTATGATTTTGTTAATGGAACCACCAATCTATATCAAGGACCTATAAAAAATCCTTTATTTCATCCTCCAAAAATGAATAAAAGCAAGACAGTGCATCTGTAAGTGGAAGCATGAATGTTTCAATTCAAGGGTTCCAAAGTGGTTTCTTAATTACCTCCTTTGATACATATGTTTAATTGCAATATTTCCTTCATATCTGTGATAAAGCCTTTAAATCACTTTAAGATGCCAGTGAAAAGATCCTAGTGGTGGCAGCGTAGTCTCTCATGCTTTATATACTGTAGTTCTGTCAGTGCTAAACCTTATTTTTCATATGTGGTTGAAACTAAGCAGAAACATAGAAGGAAAAACATGACTATCTCTTTACTTTAGAAACTTTCCTGTTGGCATTTTGTTCCATTTGTTTCTTAGTATTCTTAAGTATTTTTCTTCTGTACTTGAGATAAAATGATTAAAGTGTTTATTTAGAGAATTTACTGTTAAATTTCTACTAAAAGTTTCTTGTTTGTATTTTATAAAGGTACTTGGGGTCTGATACATCTCCGAGTAGTGGTATGGTCCTCATGGAGGTTGGCTTACTCAGTGGTTTCTCTGTGTCACCAGATTTCATTCCATTAGACAATACAGTTAAGAAGATGGAAAAGGAAAATGGAAAAGTCAACCTATACTTAGACACTGTAAGTTGCAAATAACAGAGGAATGCTTTCAGAATGATCCTAACCTTGACTCGACTTAAATTCAGAAAGACCATATGACTGTATTTTTCAACAGCAGGTGTTCACATTGAATGAATTGTTCCAGTTTTTAAAGGAGATTGATGGGATAGATACAACTCCATTTGTAAGGGGTTTCTAGACTGCACCTCTTGCAAAATCATAAAAGCAGACTTTTTAACAGGTCTGTATTTTGGCCAAAATAACAAGTTAAATAAGCAGTTTTACATACATCTTGACTCCAAGCCTTTATAAATAAAGTGGACTTCCAGTGAGCTAGAAATCCTTATTTTCTCCATGAATCACCATCATCATGGTTCTCAGGATGTTTTTCTTCTGTTTTTCTAGCTAAATGCAACACAGTTTTGTATGGATATTCCGACTGTGAGAGACTTCAAAGTGGCAAATATTCAAGATGCTTCTGTGACTGTAGTGGATTACTATGAACCCAGTAAGTGTCATTCATTCCAAATGGATCCCGGTTGTTCAGAAGCTAAACAGGAAGTTTCTTTTCATGGGAACAGGACAACTTTCAGTGAATAAAAAGCAAAATTTACTGAAACTTACATTTTTTTTTTCATCAAGCTGCAACGTATTTTCTAAAAAATAGTTGTGTTTTCTTGTATACATTTTTGCTATCCTAATGGATTGGTTTGTTAGAAGGTGCAAATTGTTATAACTTGTCAGCTGGTATGAATTGTTTTCAGTATAGCCCAATGTATTTTCCAAAAGGAACTTCACTGTGGTTCACTTACCAAGCTAATGATTGTCTTTCAAATAGCTTTTCCATCTGTTTCTTGTTTAATCAAAGAGTCCTACACTGCAGAAAAAGCCAGTGTTTTGATTTGTATAGTTATGTAAAAAAGATGTACATGGGAAAAACAGTTTCAAAGGGATTTTTAATTTATTTTTACTTTTTAATAGAGTGCATTTTAGAGAAAAGCAGGAATGTACAAACTCTCGACCAAAGTGAGAAGGAAAGAAAGATTACAGGCTGTTGAAGATCTTAGGCTTTCTTTATAGTAGACGGCTGAAATATTTTAAGGATTTGGACTTGGTTTGAGATAAGGCATAAAAAAGTTGTATTGACAGTCATCTTCATTTTGATTTGTTTTAGCATAAGACAAACAACAACCTAATACTCTGTAATGTATACTTCTTCAGCTGGATAAAAATCACATTTATTCTACTTAGGCTGAGAAGTTTACTCAACTGCAGAAGTTTAAGTTAAAATAGAGAAGTAACAAATGTACCTAAACTATCCAAACCAGGGCATGCTTTGAGTCCTAGTGGCTTAACAAGTTGGAACAATTTTTTATTTGAGACAAGCTTGTAACACTTAGAATCTGTGGCTGAAACAAATTTCCACACACTTTCATTTCTGGGAGGAAAACTGTGGACCTAATCTTTTAAGTCCTAATCTGTTAGAAAGGCTAATGAATATGTGTATAAAAAGTTCCATATAAATGCATAGGTGTAAATACCGTTATTTGGTTTAAATATATTTAGAATTTATAAATTCTCAAAGAATAAATAAATATTCATTTAAATATACGAATGAACATCTTTAAAGACTAAAATTTATGTAACATAATCACTGCTGCAATAGAAAGCTTTAACTCTAAGAAAAATATTATTTTATGAGATTCCACTTCTGTTGCTATGTAGCATAGACGTATTTTTAGTCAGCATGTGCGCATATGCCATGAAAATGATTTCTTCTGAGGGAATTCCATCCTTTTAAATTCAGGAATGTGCTTTTATTTTATTCTATTATTTTCCATCACTCTCATAGTTGGTGAACCAAGCTGCATGAGTATATTTTATGTGATGGTTACTGTCATATCTGATTTGATTACTTCATATTCAGAACTGAGATGTCTATAAAGTGTTTATGCTCTGGCATTTATCAAAAAAGGTATGGTTATGTCATAGGTATTACAACTAGCATAGGTGTGAGATCTAGTCAGGGTGCTATACAGTGGTGCTAGCAAGACACTCCTCCAGGGTTAATGCATACTACAACTTAGCACATTCAAATGACAGGGCTGTTCTTTCTCCTGACTTTGTTCAGAGCCAGTTGGGTGTTACTGTTAGATAAATGTTAGGCTCCATAGAGATGTCTTTTATTTTTATAATTTTAATCTCTGATGAACTGAATATCATTGCATGTAGAAAAAAAAAAAAAAAAAAGATTGCAGTGTCCCTTGTTGGAATGAAATCCTTCAAACCGCAAAACCCATTAAGGGAAAGAAACTTTGCAAAAGCTTGTTCTGCATGCAATTAGCATGCATTGATATTTTTGAAATGAATACAGCCTTCCAGGCTTCTAGTTCATTTGGCTGTGTAGCAACTCTTCAGAAAACTGGAGAACAAAATACAGAGCTAGGTGAGATAGGCAGTCCGAAGTTCAGGAAGCTGAAGCTCCCAGACATAATAGTGAAAATAAGCTTCAGTTATGAGAAACTTTGATTTTAAGTGACAGAGCCTGTAATGTGCCTGGTAAAGCATCAGAATTCCTTTATCATAAAGGTTGCTGACTAGGTAGGAGAAAAATTCCCCTCAAAACATGTGACTAGGCTTTCTGAACAGATTGGGTCTAACTTTTGAGAGGAGTCTATGACTGTATGCCTACCACTTAAGTGTGAGTATACTCAGCTGAGTATATTGAGAATGTTTGATGCTTTGTGAAAAGAACAAAGATTAACGTCTAGGCTTAAATACTCATGCTGCAAAGTATTTGGCTAGGTCTGTGTTAGAATTTAGTGCTTCCCTTAAAAGAGCTGTCTTCGTGAATTTAATTCTGTAAATATATTTCCTTTCTCAAGATACACTGCTGTAAGATACTATGTTTTTATTTTTGAATTACATGAAACACCTTGAATGTAGCTGATGCTTAAAAGCATAAATATCTTTCTGCAGATGGGATTTCTCCAGAAAACGTAGCATTTCAAAAGTTTCATTACAAGTATTTCTGGAAGAATTTGCAGTCTGTGTCAAACTCCTTTAAAACTAAGCTTTGAATTTCCAGCTGTTGGACAGTCCTCAGAAGTTCATTAACTAATGTTAACTAACCTTTCTAAACAGGGAGAAGAGCAGTGAGAAGCTACAATTCAGAAGTAATGCAAAGCATAACCCCTTGTGACTTCTGTGAAAGTGATTGCAACCTTTGCCACCGAGCTGGTTCTCCAGCCCTGCTTCAGCACTCTTCCTTGGCTTCCTTGTTCTGCGTGCTGTTTGTCCTTCATGTAAACTTGATGTGCAGTTGGGTGCTGTAAGAGAAAACATTGTTTCACGTTTAATGTTTCCATAAATTATCCAAAGAAAATTTTAAGTTCAGATACTAGCCTGCCTTCAGTGATTACAGTGACCTAACTCCTGCTGTGTTCAAGGAGAGCAGGTCTGGCCCATATGGTAAATTTCTGGCTGTGCCAGAAAACTTCTTTAAGTGTTTGTTAGAAATACTTTCCAAGTGTTAGTTTCATACTGAAGTTATTTTCTAAAGAAGCGAAGTTACTGAGAAAGCAGTTTGAGAAAACGTAAACCTAGCTCCCCACTCTGGCTTCCTTTCATCCCAGTTTTCATTTTTGCATATCTATTTTTAGCAATATACATTACATTAGTTTACATTGTTTTTCTGAAAAACCGTCTCCTTCTTTGGTAAACAGAGCACTGGGAGCTGGGTATCAGAGCATGCACTGTTCTGTTCTGCAGACATGATGCTTAATATTAGTATTTAGCTTCTCTGTATGCTCTCATGGGGAGAAATATGAAAAATAAAAGGAACTGGCTTCAGAGCTGATCCATGAGCCAAAAAGAACTGAGTTCACAAAGTGCTGAACATTCCAGAAAATTATCAGTCTTTTTTAAATGATTACAGAGAAGCCAGGTGAATTTTTTGCCAATTTCTAATTAATCGTGTTTGAAAATAATGCCTCCGGATGTTTTCATGGATTTTACTCTGCAAGTCTTTTACTGTAAATCATCGAAGAAGGAGTCTGAGACTTTGTTTTTCCAGGGTTCTCTTTCCTTGTGAGAATACTTGTGTTCCCTGGCATATTTATGGCCACCGGGATGAAGGTTGCCTTGATCCTCGTCTGCTTCAGGAAGCTTTCTAGAAATGTCACTCTTTGGGGGATCATTAATGCCTTGCATAGACAATATACAAGTCTTTTTGACGATTTAAGTGCCATAACTCTCCAACAGCTGTTCTGTTGCCATGTCAGCTGGTTGACTCTGAGTGCCATGTGTTTGTGTAAGTCCTGTTTTTGTTGGTGGAAAGGTTTTTAGGAGTTGTGGGCTCCACATGCATTCTGATCAGTGAAACACTAAACATATTTGTTTAACATACATATCCTTGTATGTTTAAGTGCCTTGCTGGAGTGGGAGGGAAAAGAGGGATGGTGAAGCCTTTCTGGAACAGCAGACATTTACACCCAAACCTTCTCTTTGTGCATTGGGAGAATTAAATACGGGTGTGGAAATGAGTACATTTGAGAACCCTACAAGTGAACACCTTCCTGAATGAAGCTCTTCACTGTCTGGCAACCAATTTAACCTTCTTGCATACTGCCTTTGATATTTAATGCTTACTTCTTTTTAATAAGAAAGCCGATAACATTTCTGCTTATTGAAATGAAGTTAATTACTGTTATGCTGACAATAATAGAGTTAGAAATTTTAAGGCTATTCTTTTTTTCATATCTTTCAGAGACGGAGTGTGTATGTGTACACATGTAATTATATGGTAGTCACTTTCTTGATCAATTTCTAATTTTTATTCAAATTTTGCTACCGCTTAAAATGTATATTTTTGTATTTTATGCTTATGTGTATTTTTGTTCAGAAAAGGAAATTAGATCATGGTAGCATGGGAAGAGGTCGGAATTTCTTTAACCCTGTGCCTTTTAATAATGAGTTATAGCTTGTTACCTACAAAGCTAGTTTGGGTGTGGTTATTTGTTTTACTTTACCTGTACTTAGAATTTGAAATATTTTTACAAACTTGGGATTCTGTCTCTCTGACAAAGTTATGGTTTTTTTTTGTAGTCTGTTTGTGCTTTTCACTCGTCATTGGTGCCCTTTGAGTAGCTGATTTGTGCCTTATGAGTTTCTGTGCTGTTCTGATAATCTCAAAGTGATATTGTATGTATTGAAATTCAAAGCACTGTTTAGTTGATAGAATGCAGATGTAACCCTCTGTAAGACATGTCCTTCCTTATAGGGATCCAAAGCTAATTGATGCCAAGATAGAAAAATGACATGTATCTTTGTGTCTCAAATTCTTTACTCCTAGGATTGAATTGTGTCAAACGTAAGATGTGGAAAACATTCACACGCTAACCTGGGTATGTTTCACTACGGGTTTCAATTCCTGATGAACTAGAAAAGCAGCTAATCTTTTGCCTTTGGGGACAGCAGCCTTGACATGTCATTTGCTTTCCTTTGCCATAATTTCAAGAACACAAAGCTCACATACTTTCAGTTATGCCATATGTAGAGCTTCCAAGATGGGCAGAGATATCTGATTAATGTTATAATGAAGAGGTTTATTTTTTACCAGAGATGTACTGGAGATAACCTACTCCTTTGCAGTAGATAGCATGAATATAATCATAGTTTTATTTTGCACACAGTCCCATCTTCCTGAATACCCTCTGGAGAAATAAACTCAAACTGCTCTGCCTAACTTCAGAGAGAGCAACTTTTATTAGCATTACCTTGCATTTATTTTTGAGACAAACAACACATGTTTTTAAATGACTCTTGGCTGCCTTGTACACCCTACTAAGAGGCATCAGTCATAATGCACCGTGTCACGGAAATTGTTATTCAGTGAACAAACATCCTTTTTTATTTTGTTTTCTATAATGTAGTATTTCACTTCAGACATCCAAATCTGCCTCTGTAGTAAGCTAAAGGCACCACGTACAGCATGACTTTAAACAAATGTCTACCTTAGGTGGCCTTAACTTCCATGCTCTGCTGCCTTGAAAGATGCCTTCAGTCACTTTGCACTGACTATTTTCTTGAATAAGTTGCAGAGGATTTTGTATTGCATGTTGGCAGTGAATGGGACAGAGGAAAGGCAGCACTGTGGCACAGTGACTCAGTGTTTTCCTCTTTGTCGGAGCCTGTGCATAAATGCTCATTCTGTGTATTTTTTCCACTGATCCGTACAGTCAGTTCTTGATGTTAGAAATTACTAGGAAACCTTTTAGTAAAAAGTCTTTAGGAAAACATCGAACAAGATCTTTAAAAGCTTTAAAGTGGTGCTAAAAGCAGTCGGGAAATGATATTTCATAATGGAGGCTTCCTATTGCATTGCCTGAACACTTTTTGTGTGGTTGCTCTTTGTTTGAAGTCTGAGTACTCTCTGGTACATCCAGTGCCCTTTTCAGCTCTATGTTATCAATGGATAGTCTATGCAGAACCATGAACCTCGTATTAAATCAGCAAGAAATAATCATTTATTTAAGACTGGCTTTGAAGCAAAACCTTAATGCATTTTAAAGGATCTCTCTCCTCTCTTGACTGTCATCCACAATCCCACAGGTGAGCTTTTCTGTACAGAAAAGCTGTATGTCATCTAAAAGCCTTCTGTGCTGAATGCTGCTGTACACAACAGGAAGCGCTTGTCCTGTGACAAGTGCTGCATAACGGGTTCACAGCAACTTCAAGTTTGCCAGGACTGCTCAAATGCCTGGTTTGTTTCCCAGCATGGCATCTTTGTGCCCCATTTACTTCTCAAACAAGAGCTTGCTGGCTTGTGCACATCAGTGGCACATGATAAAGGAGAAAACTAGCCACACTAGTGCAGGAGAAACTGAAGAGTCAGGATCCAACATTACTTGCCTATCTTGCCTATCTTTTGGCTTGAAAGTCACTTCTTAATATTGGATGTGAGATTTTAGAATTGCTTTTAGTAAGTTTTCAAAATACTGTCCTAACAGTATTTCTCCAAGTGTGTTCAGGTCGGTATGAATTTTGACAATATTTGGTGCAAGCAGATTTATGTAGAAAGCATATGTGTATATATATAGCTGTTATATAGGCTCCACTGTACTACTGTGTGCAATCTATGTGCAATTAAAGCATACAAGATCTTCACAAAGTAGCCAAACATTGTATGATATTCTGTTTTGTAAAATACACATCTAGAATTTTAGGAAAGAAGATATGTGGAAAGCAACTGATGCCTAATGGAATCATTTCTAGATCTCAAACACTAACCAAAGAGGACAAAATCACCCACTTTATTCAATTTTAATCTTAACGGTCAATGTTTTTTCTTATAGTTTTTGTTTTTCTAATACAAATCTTTGTTCAGTAAACCATCTTTGTGTTTAGTGTTGTAAGTACAGAGGAGACTTTCAATTCTATCACCAGTAATTTATAGGTAAAAATTTTGTAATTTATAGACAAAAATAAAACAGCAGTTTTGTGACCAGGCCTTTTGAGTTTGTATTAGACTCTCCTTTTCCCTATGTCAAAATAAATTTTACTTCAATATTATTTCTTACTCAGTTTATTGTACTTTTTTGTGCCACTTGAAAATATCATTGCACTAATGCTATTTTATGCAATAAGGTCTGACATTGTGCTGTGTTAGATAAATCCAGTGATCATTTTTCCTAATGGGTAGCTTTTTCTTATCGGATGCATTGGAGTGCTGTTTTTCTATGTGCTATAGAATCACCAGAACTCCAATGCTAAGATTTCTCTTTAGTTTCATATGATGCATTTTGTTAATGTATTTCTTAGTTTATCCAAAAGCTTCATCAGCCTTGCTCAGATTTTGAGGTGTTTATACTATGAATGGATTTTTTGTGATGAATTCTAGTATTGTTAGATTGGGTGGAATATTAATATGAGGAAAAATATAAAAATGCTGGCTCAAAGGAAGTGGCATAAATGCAGATATAACAAAGCAAACTTTAACTGTCCTACTGGCCGTTGCATCTCTTGTTTTTCTATGTCAAGCCTTAAGCAATTTGAACTAAATTTCTTGGCTGCTTGAGACATAGACAGAAATGCACTTTGATCTATATTACGATCATCATACATAATTTCACTTTTGATCAAAACAGAAATAGTAAAAAAAAGAAAAAAAAATCCTTTATGATCTGTTTCGAGTAAATGGAGGTGAACTAGCATGGTTGTGTCCTTTCAATTAACAGAACAAATATTAAGGAATTAAACTGATTTACAGGATTTTGAAAACTTGTCATTGATTTATTTTTCTTCAAATAAAGATTAGTTATTCTTAAATTTTATTATTTATTTATTATTAAATTTTATTAAAAATAATATGTTCAGTGTTTGGTTGTTGAACAATACGGTCACCTGTAGGACATGACTTGTATGTTTCTGTACTTTGTGGACTGCTGCTCATTCTCAGCACTTTTCAGGGGCTGCCTCACAGGTATTTTAAAGCTTTATGGAGCTGCAATGGTGGTTTCTATGGTTGGGCTGCTAAACATTACCTTGCAGAACATTATCTGGGAGTTTGCTGATGAGGAGTCTCCACGTTCTAAAAACATATTTTACTCACCAGGAAGTCATCTTGAGACTTCTCTCAGTAATTTTTCAACAGTGTTGGGAATTTGGAGAAGTCTCAGTCGACTGGAAAAGTCGAGTGGCAAGTGTCCCAGTTTTCAAGAAGGGCAAGAAAGAGGACCCTGGCATTTACAGTTCATTCTGACATTCTCAGTTCAATGCCTGGTAAAATTACAGAGAAGATTATTCTGGGAGAATTACTATTCTGAAGAGTATTCTGAAAGACAATGCAGTTAATAGTCACAGCCAACATATGTTTGTGAGGGGAAGCCCTGTTCAACAAACTTGATTTTCTTTTATGACAGATTAGCCGTCTAGTTGACCAGGAGAGGCCAATTAATGTAATATTTTTGGACTTCAGCGAAAGTTTTACTAATGTCTCTCATTGTATCCTTCTGGAAAAAAATGCCTAGCATACAGCTAGACCGAAATATAATGTGGTGGGTGAACAGTTGGTTGAGGAGTCAGGCTCAGAGGATTACAGTAAACGGGGTTACATCGTGCTGGTGGCTGGTCACTAGTAGGATTCCCTAGGGCTCCATGTTAGAGCCAGTTCCCTTCGATGTTTTCATCCATGACTTAGATGCAGAACTTGAAGGTGCACTAAGTGAGTTTGTGGCTGAGACTAGCTTGGGAGGAGCTGCTGAATTCTTGGAGACTGGAAAGGCTTTGCACAGAGATCTTGACAAATTAGAGGGGTGGGCAATCAGCAACTGCATAAAGTTCAACAGGAGGAAGTGCAACCCTGGCTTTATGTACAGACTGAGCAGTGAGAGGCTGGAGAGCAAAAAGGATGTGGGGCTTCTGGCTGATGGCAAGTTGAACACGAGTCAGCAGTGTGCCTGAGCAGCCAGAAGTACACTGGGGTGCAACAGGCCCAGTGCTGCCACCACAAGAGGGAAAGGGTTGTTCTGCTCTGCTCTGCTCTGCTCTGCGGCTGTGTAGTCTTACCACAAGCACTGTGTGCAGGTTTGGATGCCACAGTATGAGAAGACCATCAAATTGTCAGAAAGCATCCAAAGGAGGGCTACAGAACCCAAGGGAATAGCATGGAACCACATCAGGGGAGGGTTATATGTGTGTTATGGAAAGGTTCTTCAACAGAGAGTGGTGGGTGTGGAACAGGCTGTCTGGAAAGCAGGAACTTGAATTAACTTCAATCCAGCCAGTGGCAATACACGTGTAAACCTCTCCTTTGCTGTGATTTTTCATATGACACTGTGTGTGAGCACTGCTAGGCCTTGTGCTCCTGTGCTCACTTCTTTGGCCTGTGTGTATCTGGTGTTGTCTCATGCTTTCCCAAGAAAAAGCAGGCTTCTTATGATTTAAGTAGAGCCTGCCCTTCAGCATGTCTGCACAAGTTTATTGCACAGGCGTCTATATATTGTGGTTCAAATAACGTCCTGTTATGGGGAAATACAAGCAAGCCTTGGACATAATAATTTATTTTGATAGAATTTAAAATAGCTCGGTTGTAAAGATCAAGAATCCACTGAATAGAATTAGTGTATTAGCTTTGGAAAAAAATCAGTTCCTTTTTCCTCACTTGTAGTATTCCCAGCAGTCCCCAGATCTTGCAGCAAAAACCCCAAACCAATATATATCCAGATGGCATATCCAGATGGCAGCACGTGATAAAAGACATGGAGTACTTCAGTCTTGTTTCTTGGTTTTTCCTCCCTTGTGTGTTTAACCGCAGGGAGGGACCTGTAGGTTTGTGGGTTTATGTTTTTTGCTCAGTATGAGAAGATGATACAGCAGTAAAAATACTCTGCCTGACCTTATCACTACGTGTTTTAGTTGTGTGTTCTTACCCTTAACTCATAACTTATGCTGATGTTTCTTTAATAAAAGAGAATTTCTCACAGTGGAAGATGCTGTTATGGTTTTTCTGCTTTCTAAAAATATATTCCTTGACACTCAATAGAGCACGTGGTGTCTTTACAATATTTTTCTAGAATTCTAGTGCCAAATGTCTACCATTTGTGCTTGCTCCTCTCTGCCTCCTTTCTCCTCATTGCAGGATGGCCAATGAAAACTTTGCAAGATGGCAAAGAGTGACTGCTGAATTTGAGGAATGTGTATTTTCTAATGCTATGAAATGGTGAGTGTTGTTTGCAGGCTTTGCTTGCTCTGCAAGTTTTTTGGTTTTTTTTTTTTTTTCATTTTCCCTTTGATACCTTTCATTTTCAGCTTAATTATTGTAACTAGCTTATTGCTATTATTCCAGTAGCAGAAGATAGTTATGAGGGGGAACACAAGTGTGACACTTGAGAGGCTGAGGAGGTAAATCTTCCTATGCCATCTAAGCAATTGATGGAAAGAGACAGGCTTCTTTAAAAGGTAAGTCAGAGCACCTACATCTGCTTTTTGAAACATGCCCAAAGAAGCTTCGTTTATTTACCTATTTTGCACTTTTGCTACAGAGTGAGCCTAAGGAGAATGGTTTCCCAAGTGAAAATGTTTTAGCTTTCAAGCTCAAGCTGAGGGGAGAGACAAGACATACCTGTAAGGGGAAGAGAAGAGTCAGTTAGGGAAAAGTTAAAATTTCATTCATCAGTTTAAGGTGGCCTTGAACTGTAAGAGGTGAATAAATTTGGTGTGGGGTAGACTGTTGTGCAGCAAGATTTTCATGCTGTTCTTTGGAAGCTTCATCTGCTGTTTCTGTCCTGGATGGGACATGTTTCTGTTGATATCCATTGTAAAGCAATCCCTTCATCCTTCTGGTGCAAGGATCTCCAGATGGATCTGGTACCTGTTTATCACGCTTTTCTGGGCTTTGAAAGCCTTAAAAAAACTGACAATTGCAGTAGAGAATGAGTTACGTGGGCCTGATAGGTCCTTTGAAGCCCTGGAAGGGGAAGTCACATTGAGTTAAGTTTCACAGGAGCCTATCAGATTCCCAGTTTGAAAAACTAACATGCAGCCTGATTATATTTGCATGCATCAACAGCCGCAGAGAGACTTCCAGCGCTCCAGAGAGTAGCTTTCAAGTTGACTTTGACAAAATGCAGAAATGGTCTAAAATCAGAAGCAAGAATATAGCTATGTACTCAGGAAAGATGGTAGTTGGCTGTACGGATCTAGGCTGAGTGAATGACTAACAAGGTAGATATTCAGCAGAAAAGGAGCCAGGATGCAAAGAGATCAATCCACTGAAAATAGGCCAAACTATTTACTTTTTACAACTTTTGCCAAGTTCTTGCACAAGAAACAAACACACTGGGTGGTATAAACAGGAGTGTTGTCTGCAAGGCCATGCTTTCTGCAGCTGGAGTGACTGTTCCTGCTTGGGCACAGCTCACCAATAACAGGGGGCTGCATAGAGAAAAGGCTGCCAGAATGGCTAGGGTCCTCACAGACAAGATATGGGAGGAAGGGGTTAAAGGCAGCCTTTGTTTAATCTGCAGAAGAGATGGTGGAGGTTAATATGAGACAAGTTTTCAAATAAGGGGTAGGCTGCTGGAAAGAAGTGTGTAAGCTGTGTTTAATATCCAAGTAATGGTAAAAGTAGAAGAGAGATTTGAATAGCAGCAGGGAGCATTTAGGATAAATACTAATAAAAAGAATCAAAGGGTCTCAAACATTTAAGTTTCTGAAAATAGCTTGTAGGCTCAAAAATAGTATAATGGAAACCTAAAATGTGAAAACTGACTGTTGAAGCTGGATAACTGAGAGAATGCAAAGCTTGATAATGGAGATGTAAATCAATGAGTACAAATGAGCTAGGAACACCCCTAGTGCACTGGGAAGTTAACAAAGGCTTATCTGAGACACCCAGGGAGTTCACACAGGATCCTGCCTGGGGCATGGGCATGGTTTCTCCCTGACCCTGACATGATCATTTGTGTGTGGGTCCATAAACCCAACGCTGACTCTGCTTCCCTAAGGCCCCAGCAATCACTTGAATAAACAGTTGTAGAATAAAACAAACTTACTGAGTTACAAAACTTCCTTTGTGTTTATATTCCTACCAGCAATTTACACTTAGTTTTTGTCTTGTATTTTATGTATGGTTGCATTTGGAATCCTGTTTTATTTTCTTCATTTGCCTTCAGTTTAACTCTCAGTGAAATCCATACAGCCTATTCCTTTCAAGTTCATTACTTGCATTGCTTTGCAGTTTTAACTTACATATTTTGTGTAGTTTTATGCACAACTGTTTGTCATAATCTCCTATCTGATATGTGAAGGGATTAGTTCACCTAGAAGTGCATTTTCTAGTTCCTCACTTTTATTACAGTCATTGAGAATGTAATAAAACTGATTTACTGTTTGAGAAGGCATGCAAGAAAATGGGAATCTCCTGAGTTTATTATAGTGCTATTCAGTGTATTTCATTTTTAGAAGAAACCCATATATTGTTACCTTTCCAGACAGTTTAACATCTACAGGATGGTAGATACCTGGAAGCTGATTTTGAGGCCTGATTGGAGGTACCTGCTTGTGTGGTATCCGTAATGAGTCACTGGTACGGAAACTTAATTTTCAGTTCTATCAGTAATTTTTTTTCCCTCTCTCTCTCTTTCCTTTTTTCCTTCTTTTTTTCTCCCTTTCTCTCTCTCTCTCTCTCACTTAAGCAAAAAAAGACTACATCTTCTATCAACTTTGGGAGTAAATCAAAGCATTATAATTAAGTTTTGGTT